CCGGAAGGTCCTATGCCAATAGCTTTTTTTCAAGTCTTTCAATTTTTGTAACTCGAATATGTTTGAGCTTGAGCTTCGGCAATACTTGGTCGCTCAGATTGATCTTCTGTGCAGCCTAGTATTGAGACCCAATTAGCTCCAAACATTCTGGGTAACAAGGTTTATTTTACCCAGTAACTGAGTAACCTTAAAATATGCTAAGCTTACTTTCATTCATTGTTTCTCCCATAGTTACGGCATCCAAAAACAGCACAATAATGTCCATAAGTCTTTTTTTTTACTAAAAGCTAACAATTTAGTTTGGTATTTAAATTTTTATAACAAGTAACAATGTAACATGTTTTTATCTCATCATTTGCTATAAAAGCACTGTTTTGAATTACTCCTTAGGAAGATATAGAATGCATCGCGGCAAAAGCATGCCTTTCCACCAGAAACAGATCTATTGAATTGGGCAAGACTATTTTATGCATGGTAGACAATTTTTAAAAAAGTTTGCAAAAGGTTACAGTTTCGGCTAGTGAAGGTTAGAAAGTTGTTGAAAGAACTTTGATTACGTTGAAACCTATCCGATCTGAAAATTATTCTAGAACTGGTCAGAAGTTATTTTGGAACTGTATTGAAATCAAAAGAAAATTGTTTTAACTAGAAAAACCTGCTTTGCCCCGCCATCGCAAAGTATCTCGTTGTTTTGAAATTGGAGCATCTGCATCAATATAATATAAAAATTCTAGTTAACTTTTTCAAGAATATAAATTTCGAAGCTATAGAAATGACAATCAGCAGTATTCAATCTAGATTTGAACAACAAGGATATTTAATGCTTCAAAAGATAGAATCAGTACTTATAAATGTTTCATCTGAAGGTAGTTTAATAAATAACGAAGTTTTTGCTTTCTATTTTACACATTTGAATGGTTCAAGACTGCATGCATAATTACAAAGTTATGCACGAATCAACAACTGAACCATTAGACACTCTACAAATTGTCCTTTATTTTGTCAGGTAAGATATGAATGGATTTTCTATAAATTTTATTGCTATTTATTTAATAATTAAAACTGCAATGTATCTTAATTTGACTAACATATGCACTAAAATGCGTATTTGTATGCTAATATAACACGTAATTTTTTGTGTTTTACAGAGAAGCAAAAATAATCATTATCAGAAATCAGGAAGTTGATAAAACTTATCCTTTTTTTTGTTATGCTATTTAGGTGCCGCAAGAAGACCTAACGGTCTTGTCACAGAGCACCGTAAAAGTGCATATATTTAGGAAGTTCACGCCAACTTCCTCGCCGTGACGCGAAAATATGTCTAGAGTTCGTTTCAAACCTGGGTCTCCTGCTTCTAAAGCGAGCGCTCTAACCACTGCGCAACGGCCGCACGAAACCATTAGCCATGTACTATATCAAAAACAAACAAAAAAATGTTTCTAGCCTCCCCCCCCCCCCCCGCCAGATTAAATAAGTTGTCTACAGCCATGTTTATTCTATAAATAAGTAGTACTTACAACTTAGAAAAAATTACCAACAAAAAAGCATTTATTTTCTTTAGAAAATTAAAAAAACCAGGTTCTAGCTTAACAGATCAAGCAACTTAAAAAAAAAGATTCCTCTTATTAATATTTAGTTCTTAAAAATTGATGTTGAAGGGTAGTTTTATGTCATATGTTATAATACAGTATTCTCTACAAAGTCATATGCTATAATACAGTATTCTCTACAAATGAGTTAAAAAGAATGCTTGCTGTTGTAATCAATCAAACAGTTTAGAAAATTCTTAAAGTAATCTCGATGATTACTGGGCTTTTTGAGCCGTTACCAGTGATTGTTGAAGTCATGAATGACAGAATTGATTCTGCTGCTTGCTCTGAATAGATGTCCTGTGTGTAGTTTTGGCAATCAATAAACTGTGTAATATGAAAAAAAGACAGCATGCGCTTTGGGAGTGACACTTGTGTTTGGAAGCTTGTGATAGGAATCCTTGAAATCTTCAATGAGGATACAATAGTTGTCTTAAAGAACATTTCCAAATTAAGCATGAACAACTGTATCAAACTTTCTGAATGTTGCAATGAATGGAAATGCTAAAAAGAAAACATGCTTTTGTAAGTTGTTGAAGCAAGTCAAAATTTCAAAAAAAGCATTCTGCACTCATTGCCTGCAAATTGCCCTCCGTGAAAAAGTTTTAATTGAATGTTTATCATTTTTGGCCATTCTAGTTCATTTTTCCACTGCAGACGCAGATTCCTGAAGAGGTGGTAAACAACGCCAAGAAAAAGTGAAGTTCTATGTGTAAAATGAAGTCCAAGATGAGTGCTCCTTCAGGTAACATAATAACTGGCTCATTTACAACATTCTGAAATTCCCATGGTTTTTTTTTGGGCACATGTTGCTTGGAAGCCTGTATAATTAGTTTGAATGGAGCTAAATGTTTGGACCTTACCACTCTGATGAAGATTTTTTGACTCAATGGTACACATGGGTGAGGACTTGAGTGAGACTGCAAACCACAAATAATGTTTGCAAGCCTATGTCACATGAGAACACAAAAAGCAATCTCTCAAGGCTTAATTTATCCATGATCTGCTTTACAATGTCATAATTTTCAGAAAAGTTTTCTGTGATAGCCACTAGAAGTTTTTAACTCAATAATAACCATTAAGTTATTATCTTTAAATAAAAGGATTTTGTGTTTGTTTTTTTCTGTTTATATGAAGACGCCAAAGTCTAGTCATTTTTAAGTTTTTTATTTAAATATTTAGCTATGGGAAAAAAAATGTGATGCAATACCAATAAAAATTAATCAAATCAGATTTCTCTTACAAAGTACAAAATATTCTTAACGACAAATTGCACATATTGTCAGGGCCGGCGCGAGTAGGTGCCTCGTTAGGGGGGGGGGGGGGTTGAGTTCCAATACAACTTTTGCCGACTAAAAAAAAAAAATCCTCGTTTTTTAAAATTTGCCGACTGCCATAACAACATTTGTCGACTGACTGTCTAAATTTACTGACTAATCTGTCAAAAGGGTCTACATTTGCCGATTAGTTAGTCAAAAAGGGTCAAGTTTGCCGAATAAAATCATTAATGGGGGGGGGGGGGAGGGTATCACACATCCTACACCGCCCCATCGCGCCGGCCTTGCATGTTGTATAGGTTTCTCACTAAACTGTAATGCAAGTGAGAAAAAAAATGGATACAGGGGAAGAGTTTTGTCCAAGAAGACGACCTTCTAAACGCAAGACAAGACCAAGAGCGGACCGTATAATCCGAAATATCTGCCTGGAAAACAGAAAAAAGCCACAAAACGTATTGACTAAGCTTATCCATGAAGCTAATATTGTTGTTTCAGGCCAGACCATTTGCAGAATGCTGAAAGTAGAGGGATTGATGTGTCATTGTCCAGCCAAGAAGCCTAAACTAACTTCACTTATATAAAAAAAAAAAAAAAAAAACTTGTCTGAAACTATTGTCACAGGTCTGTTGAGGATTGGGAAAAAGTATTTTTATTCGTATTTATATTCATAAATTATTTTAAAATGTTTTTATAAATATTTTTTTTAGATTTGCTTTTCAAATGAGTCAACCTTTCAAGTAATGATGGACAAAACAGCTTTTGTTCGTTGTAGAACAAACGAAAAGTTTCAACCTGATAGCATTGTGGAAACAGTCAAGCATCAAGTTTCAGTAATGATCTGGTCTGTCATTTGTGGGCCAGGAGCAGGGTGTCTCTATAAAGTGGTTGGGACAATGAGGCAGGACCAGTATATAGAAGTTCTGGAGAATCAGTTGCTTCCCCAATTGGCAGATTGGTCTAAAAATGTCAAAAAATTTCAAAAAAAGTCACCAAATATCAAAAATCTTATATTTATGCAAGCTGGTGCAACTTGCCACACAGCAAAAAGTCTTATTTAAAATAAAAAAAAGTTGATGTATTGCCATGACTAGGCAACTCACTTGACTCCATAGAAAAGATTTGGGAAATAGTGAAGCGAGAGATTGGATAAAAAATTATTACTAACTAGCAAGATCTTATGGAAGTGATTATCAGGATCTGGCACAAAAACCCACAGTTGACAGAAACTATTTAAAAGTCAATTGCAAGCATGCCACGACGCATCAAAGCAGTTATTGCAAAAAAAGGCGGTTTTAGAAAATACTAATACTTTATATATATTTTATATAATTTATTGTAATAACTAATAAATATTAAAAAATTTTTAACTTTGTTTATTTATTTTTTATCAAGTATGACTTTATAAATAAAAGAACAAGCTTTAAATTGCACCATTGTTTTTCTTTTTACCTAAAAATTCATTTTTATACAATATTTACAAACAATTAAAGCTGGTCCTAATGTGATGGCCGACCACTGTAAGCCAAGAACTTCTAGAGGCACTTTTAACAACACCCCTCCTCCATCGATTCCCACTTTGAAAAGTTCATTTAACTGAGGACCTATGATCTGAACTTAAGTGTTTCTTGAATACCCTCGAAGGTTTTTCTTGGGGAAAGGTTCGAATTAAAAGTTTAAAGAGGTTTGAATTAAAAGTCATTTTCTGACACAGTGCTTCCACAATGTAAGAATAAACTTTTTAAATGTTCTGATGATCGTTTAAAAATTTCAATTTAAAATCGTTTAAAAATTTGATCATTAAAATGATGATCGTTTAAAAATTTCAAGCGCTTGGATTGGTCATCAAATTTTTTTAGGATGAATTGGATATGATGGGGTGCTGGTGAAACTTTGAAACCAGTCGTCCAGAAGAATCGTAGGCCGGCCTTTATGTATTCTTTTTTGAATATTTCTAAATACATAACTAACTCTTTTAAATAAGGCAGCTATAAATATAAAAAAAGATTTATCAGAATTAAAACAAATAAATAAAAGTTAGTTATAATAAAAAAATCGCTAAGCGCGCCATATAAAGTATTTTTTTAAATGGAAATTTTTTGTTTACATTTAGAATTATTGGAGCGCCGTTTTTAAACACTTGTGACTTAATAAAAAGTTGCTTAAGCACTTATAAGTTACTTTATTTAATTATGTCTAATTAAATTATCTAACGCTAATTCGCCTAATTTCGTTAATAACAATTAAAATTTTTTATGGTCTAAATTTATTTGGAATGGAACAGTGCTATATTAAAGTAAGTTTTGCAATTGTAAGTTTGTCATCTCAAAAAATTTACATCATCAGATTTAAAAAAAATAGTTCTCATGGTAATAAATTACAATTTCTTTAAAGAGCATATATTTAATTTTCAAGTTATCGGACTTTTTAATAATTCTTTATTTTTCTAAACTAATCCAATATTTACTAGTTCAAATTTATACCCAAATCTATATCGGTAAGGTTTCCAATTCCACCTTAACCTAAACCTGTAGATATTCCATTATTTTCTAATATGATATTTGACCTGGTTAATACATTGTGTTTTTAGTCATCAATACCTTATATACTTTTAGTCATCCAAAGAGTGGCTCTCTAAATTATGTGATCATTGCCTTGTTTCAACAAGGCAATCATCACTTCTGCAGTTTTTATTATATCACAATTAAAATCAGTATATAGCATTGAAAAAAACATGAACTTTGAGGATGTCTACTTTTTTGTGTTGGTTGATTAAGTTTAGATGTAATACATGTCTACTTAACCATATATATAAACTAATAATAGTTATAAGATTGTAAAAGAACCATAGTAATTTAATTCTATTTATTGACCTTTTTCTTTTTTAAATCTTCTGAATAATGGATGTTGCTATGTAAACTTGTTACATTTTTTTTTTTTTTTTTCATATTTTGAAGTAAGGAATTAAATAAAACATTAAAAAGAAAAAAAAAAGTGCAGTAATATAATCTTCATTTCAATATTTTTTTTATACATATGCAAGTAATGCCTATTAGAATAAGAAGTTACTGGAAGAGAAAAAATGAAATTTATAAAGTAAGATGACAATGATGTTCAAGAAAAAAAAACTACATGTAAAAAAGATGTGAAAATTTCTGGAAGATGGTTAACATAAATTTAAAAAAGTATAGGGTCAAGGATAGAACCTTGAGGAACCCCTTAAATATATATATATATATATATATATATATATATATATATATATATATATATATATATATATATATATATATATATATATATATATATATATATATATATATATATATATATACACAGTAACCCCTTAAATGTATATATATATATATATATATATATATATATATATATATATATATATATATATATATATATATATATATGCAGTAAGAAGAGAACTTATGGAGAAGATATATTCCAAACTTTATCAAATGGAAGAAGAAGTCTAATGGGACAGTAGTTAGATGAGCCAGATTGCTCTCCAGAATTTTTGAAAATAGAAATAACAGATTTGTCCTTATTATAAACACTGTTAAAGATTCTCCAGAAGGCTCTGCAACCTAATTTTTAAGATAAAGTTTGAGAAATTGTGACCTGAAAATGACGAGCTTTGGTGTTAGTCAAAACCTTTATACAATATTTTTTTGCAATAGTAAACAAACATCTATTTTTTAGAGAATTGTTTTGACGATAGATACAGAAGTAATGGTTATGATAGGAAATTGCAGCAGCACAATTAAAGGAAAATCATGGAGAAAAGTGAGGCTTGACTTGGAATTCTTAAGAGTGAATTGTTATGAGGGAATTGTTAAGAAGATTATTTGTCAGTAGAAAGACAAAAAATTTCTACCTGAGGGCCATCACGGAAAGTGTCCCAGTCAGCTTTAAGGTAAATGTAAGAGATATGTTGATTGGGGGATTCTGATTATGAAGAAGAGAGAGATAAAAGTTTTAGAGAGATCAAACTGTAATCAGAAGCACCTAATGGTTAAATCTAGAGAAACTGAGCACTGACTAGGATCAGAAACGAGACATAAGTTGAGTAGAGAAGGTAATTGATTCAGATTGTTAGGAAAGTGAGTTGGAAAGTTGACTATTTGTGTTAAAGATTAAGAAAGACAAAAGTTGTTGGCCTTAATGTTTGCAGAGTCACTGACAATAGAGCCAAGCAATTTGGTGTGATGAGTATTAAAATCACCAACAACAATGTTTGCTAGCTATTAAGTCATATCTCTTTGCAAGAGATATAACTCAACAGAAGGAAAGTTACCTTGAAGGCCACAAATAAATGATAGATTTAGAGAACTTGGTGAGAACGTTGGATTTTTGTGTTATACTTTTTGGTACTTTTTCGGATATGTTAAAGAGTTTGATTCAATTTTTGGTCATTTTTGGATTTGTTAAAGAGTTTTTTACTGTGTATTCAAAGCTCAGTACACAGTACTCAGTACACTATTGAATAGTCAAAGTAATTGTCTCATTACTATTAATAAACCCTTAGGCAAAACAAAAGACTCCAAATGTGGCTTCTATAATGCACTATGATACTTTAGAGCAGATGATGGAATCAGCCTCGAAAGCTACTGCAGTTTAAGAAAACTTAAGGTCTGCCCAAGATGAGTATTTTTATCAAGACGCCATCTTATATGTTCACCCTATTCTATTTGTTAGGAGATTGATTACTATGATTAAATGCAACAATGGTATCTAACAGACATTATCTCTTGGTGGCCAAATTAAGTTTAATTAGCAAATCATTTGTTGCTGTATCTATATCTGTAACCATGCCTACCAACTATTGCACACAGAACAGAAAAAGGCCCAAAACTATTTTTTAAAAGAATGGATTTTATTTTGTGAATTATTATTTAACAATATTACTTAAGTTTTTATTTATGTAAAACTGAACAATTACTGAGTAAATTGCTTAACTTTACCTGAATAAAAATTTGAACAAAACTGCTGAAGTTTTTATTCACGTAAAGCTAACCAATTACTGAGTAAAAGCAAATGCTCCTTTTTATTCACCTAGCCTATTATTACAACTTACAATATAAGTATCAAGCATCACTATTAATGAAAAATATATTATTGCATTTTTCAATTTTTCTAAATACGTTTTTTTAAGTAAAGCTTATATAAAGGTTTAGTCGGCATAAAGTTTATTACTAACTTATTTATGACAAAATTATCTTAATTATATAATGTAATAAGTTATTTTTAGAGTTTTTTTGAGTAATAAGTTTATATTTTATTTATATATAATTTTTGTACCTGGGAAAACCTTAAGAACCAGGGAAGGGGTGGAAAGGGGTACACTTAGGCATTTTACCAACCCCCTCCCCCTCCTTACATTTAAAGTTTTTTGTTTTTTAGGCGAATTAATTGCTAAAAATTAAGTTTCAAATTTCTTAATTTCATTGATAAAAAATTGAATTAATATCCCAAATCAAACAATCCACAGAAGATACTTAATTTCAGATTTTTCTGTTGTCATTAAAACATAGAAAATTGTAATTTTGGAAAAAAACTTTTAACTTTATATGGAATATCAAATAAATAAAAACTAAAGCTTTAAAGCATTAAAAAAAAACTAAATTTTTTGCTAGTTTTATCATTAAAATGTCATCTGTCAGACAAAACAATTGTGGCTAATATGGGAAAAAAGTGTCATTTTCAAAATGAAATAATTAGTTTTGTCCACCCTCATCGGCTAAAAGCTAATTCTTAAATGATAAAGTATGTCATGCTTAGTACCACTAAAATAGTTGTGAACGCTATGGACTGCGAGAGTGACTTTTTTTTCTTTTAAAATTTTTAAATTTTTCAAAGATGTTTTCTATATAATCATTTTTTTACTTAGGTTTTGCTTTCTACTTGAGGATTTTGGTAAATAATGTTTTAATTAGTTATGACATCAATGTAGTAATTTAAGATTTTTTTTTGATTGGAATCTTTTTCAATCAAATTTAGAATTAATATGCCTTCTGATGAAAAATCTCACATTTTGCTCCCTCTCTTTTTTTTATTTTTATTTTTTATTTGTTAATATTTAAAGAAACCAGGAAATGGTTTTTTTTTTTTGTGTTACCAAATTGTGCTGATTATACATACAATTATATCTTAGCTATATTAAAAACAACAACATACAAATATAAAAATAATGACCAGTTAGAAATTTTTTCTTAAAATTTTGATTATTTTGCTCAACAATTAAAACATGGTTTGATGGGACCCAATACATATCTTTTTTATGCAGGCCAAGAAAAACATGGACTGGGACCATGTGGATACATCAATTGAATTTGATTATCTCCTTCTCCTTCATTGCAAGCTACATAATTCATATGATTATAAATTACCTGCTGCACAGCCAGTTTTTTTGGTATCTGCACAAAGTTAAGTGTCTGAACATCAGTTAGTTAACTCCTTTTAAAAAAATTTGCACATTTATTAATTGGTACAAAATTGCAAAGACAACTTTTTTCCTGGCAAGGTTCTTACCATAGTAAACCTTGGTTGTAACCACAATCAAACTTCATTGTTTTTTTCTTTATAAACAAAAACAAATTGAATGTTTTTTATATTGGTTGCACAAAATTTCCCCAGTCTTTTTTTAAACTAGCTAGTACACTTATTCATTTTACTATTTCATCAATGCCTTCTCAAGCAGACCTACCATGGTTTGTAGCAAAAAAAAGATTTTAAGGTTTTTATATTTTGCTGCTTATCTTTTGGTAAAGTATTTAATTTTACTAATTTGTAGAATGATTGCTTCCTTGTAATTGTTAATGAGCTGTTTTTTTTATACAAAGTATACGCCATACTCAATGTCATCAGAAAGCATGTAAAATGACTTAGATATCAGTTTTATATCATTTGATTTACAGTATATAATAATAGGATAAAGTGTACATTTTTGTTTATTTCAGTGGTAAAATCCCTGCAAAGTAACAGGAAACTAATATTTACAACATGTATCAAAATGTCAATTGCATCCCCCCTCCTTAACTTAGAGCCTAACCCAGGCACAAAAAAATTATAAAGTATTAACCTATCATTGCCACTAAAAAGACTATAAAAATAGAAAAATCAAATAATGCAATAATACATTTTTCATTAATAATGATTATTGATATATATGTAAGTTGTAATAATGCTTCAAAAGAAAAATTATCAAGATGACATCACCATTTTGACCTTTAAAATACCCAAAAAATATATACTTTTATTATTAAGCTTTCATGTAACATAAGGTGGGCTTAAAAAATGTTCAATTTGATTTTTGTAAAATGTGAAAAGATTTTCTGTACCAAATTTCAATATAATACCTCTTTTTCTTCATAAATCATTGCTATTTAATGAGAAAAAAGTTAGCATAAAAAGAAAATGGAAACCGAAATATTTCAAGAACGGTAAGGAGTTAGAGGTTTCAAATTTTAGATTTCTAGTTTTCATAAACCTTAAAACATATTAAAAAATTTTAAAAATCCAAAATTTTTGGGTGAAATTTTTTGTTTTTTTTCTTCTGATTTGACATGGAATTATCCAAGTATGGTTTTCTAAATATATATAAAAGTACTTTTATCAAAATATTTATTTAGAACACACTTGTTTGGCTTTTTGTTGATAAAATCAAACAACCAGCTACAGTTATAGAAAATAAAAATGGAAAAATAAAGTTTCAAACAAATAATGGAAAGGTAAAGTTATTATAAAAAATATGTAATCTTTAAAAATGCTATAATTAAAGAAATTAATATTTAATAGTGTTTTTACAGTATTATGAGTATTCATTGTCAACTGTTAATCACCAACTTGCTACTCCCATGCATCAGTCTAGTATAGATGGAGTTGAAGACATGGCAAAACTTGGTGATTTACATGAAGCTGCCATTTTGTATAATATTCAACAAAGAATTCGCAGGAACCTAATATATGTAAGTTTGAAAAATTTTATATGATAATTTTTTTATTGTTGAAGTTTTTAAGAAATTTTTAATTAAGTGAAAAAATGTTTGTTTTTTTTAAATGATTATTTTCTGCTTATCAATTTGTTTATTTTTTAAATGAAAAATGTTTGTTTTTAATTATTTTCTTATCCATTTGTTTTTTATTTTAAGTGAAAAAATGTTTTTTAAAAGTGATTCTTAAAAATAATTATGGTTTTTTGAACTTTTTTTTTCTGTTGTTTTTTGTTTTTTTAATTTTAGTTCTTAAAGTTTACAAAGTTATTTGAAAAAATCAATAAAAATGTAATGATAAAAAAATTGGTTTGAAGTTTTTTTTACATTTTTATAAATGTTATTTTAAATATTTGTGAAATTTTCTTTTCAGCTATCGATTTTTTAATCTTAGTGTTTTAAAATAAAAAGACAACTTATTAATTTTTTTTTTTTGAACTAAAGTAAATAAGTTTAATGTTAATTATGTTGTGAATCAGATGTCACAACAGTGTATCATGTGTTACAAAAGTTTATCAGGTGTCATAAAGTGTATTAGGTATCACAACAGTGTATTATGAGTCACAAAGTTTATCAGGTGTCATAAAAGTGTATCATATGTCACAACAGTGTATTATGTGTCACAACAGTTTATCAGGTGTCGCAAAAGTGTATCATATATCACTATAGTATATCATCATCACAAACTTGTCACAAAAATGTAGCAGGTGTCACAACATCATACTAGCTGTTAAAACAGTGGCTAGTGGGGCAGTAGGTATTCAAAATGGGAAAAATTATAGTTGTCTAAAACATATTTAATTTAGTTTCTGTATATATTAAGATTTTTTTTGAAAATTTATTTACATTAAATGTTTATTTAATGTAAATAAATTTTCACTTTATTGAAAATTTATTTACATTAAATCCCTAGTTTCTTTGAGCATTTGAATATTTATGATAATATTTTTTGCTGCTCTATAACTAATAATTGACACCATTGACATGTGCTATCTAATAGTTATTTGAGCTATATGATGCTTAAATCAAGTTTCTGTTGATTGCTTGTCTCCTGAGGTCCCTATACTGATTTTATAAATGTTCTGATTTGGTCGCCATGGTACCCAACTTAATAAATTGTAGCAACCTATTTTTAATTATTAACAATTATTTTCACTATGTATATTCTATTGGTCATGTATGTTAAAAAATTGCCCACCTCATTTCTATGTTTTATGGTAAGACCTTGGTATCAAATTTTTTTTGCCAATTGTTTGTCGCCATCAGGTTGGCAAAAAAAAAATTTGATACAAAGGTCTTACCATAAAACATAGAAACAAGTTTGGCAATTTTTTGGCATATATATATTCTATATATATATATATATATATATATATATATATATATATATATATATATATATATATATATATATTATATATATATATATATATATATATATATATATATATATATATATATATATATATATATATATATATACATATATATATATATATATATATATATATATATATATATAAATATATATATATATATATATATATATATATATATATATATATATATATATATATATACATATATATATATATATATATATATATATATATATATATATATATATATATATATATATATATATATATATATATATATATATATATATATATATATATATATATATATATATATATATATATATATATAATCATGATGTAATTTGGAAAATGCATATACTAAAATTTCATAAACCATTTAGATTTTAAATAAGCATTTAAAATAGTTTTATTATTTGCGACAGGCTCCTTTAATTTGCTTTGTTGACAAATATATGACATAAACTATATCTTTTTTTTTTTGTTACACTTATTTAAATTACTTTCATGGTGGTTTCTGGTCAAATTACTTTACTGGTGGTTAAAAAACCTCTTTTTCATAAATGATTGAAATTCTTGTTTTAATAATATTTTAATAAAAATACTTGCTGTGTTTAACTGAGAACATTTTTTCTTTTAACTGTACTTAATCACATTTTTTTTTTAGCCTTAATAACAGGCTAAACCAAAACTCCTCTAATGAAAATGTATTCAATTCCTCTAAACAAATATTTGAAGATGCCCTTAAAAAAGTGTTTTTGTAAATTTTGAACTAAAATTTGATCCTGAAAAAAAGAATACAAAAAAGTGAAATAAAACTAGAAATGTAATTTGGTTCAATATATTAATATAGCAAAAATGTTTCATCTAATACAGGTAAAGTGTTTCTAAAATTAGTCGATAAGCATCTCCTGCCCTCTAATAAATTAAATAAAATTTTTAATCGAAATACAATTAAAGTTATAGTTGCACAAAAAATATGGAAAGAATTATAAAAGGTCACAATAATACTAGCATTATTGTGTATTAGTAGTTAATAATGTAATAATAATGTAAATATAAAGTAATAATAGGAGTAATAATGCTAGCATTATTGTGTATCAGTAGTTATGACATTTTGTTAATTTGATTATTTATTTCTGATGATTCTTTATTGATGAAACAGTGTTAATTGAAAAAAAATTTTACTAAGTGATTTTCTACTGCTTTATAATAGCTCTGTTCTTTTAAAAACATTGAGCACTTTATTTTGTAGAATACATTTTAAAATTGTTTAAATTTTAAAATGTACATTTTAAAATTTAAACAATTTTAAAATGTATTCTACAAAATAGAGTGTTATGTAATTAGCTTAAAAAATTAATGGCTCTGAAACAAACAATTAAAAAAGAGATTGGGACTGAATATTGATATCTCTGAAACTGTAAGGAGTCAGAAACTAAAATTTAGAGAGAAGTTTTCTTTCACTAATATAAGCTTGTATTCCAAAAATCTGAGATGGCATAGTGCTAAGCATAACTTGAATTAAGCTGGAATGACTCAAAAAGGTCCCAGCTTAATGCTCAAAGTTGATCTAAAGTTAGCACGAGCTGAAAAAAGAAAGCTACAAAAGGAGCATGCAAAAATGAACTATTAAATTGAAATAGAATGTTTTTAAACATTTATAAGTTTTTTTTATTTTACCTTAAGTACCTGATCTTTTGCTAGGTATGTTTGCATCTGGTTTTTGTTATTGTTCTAACAAAAGCACCAATAAAACAAAAATAACCAACCTAAATAGTTGTATAACTAATTTGGTACTTTTTTTCTCTAACTTTATTCTTAGACCGATTGTGAAGGAAATGAGTACAGTGATGGAGAGAAAAACACATGTGATAATGAAATCAAGGATGTCGTGCAAATGAACAATTTGTACTTTTCAAGAAACTCATAGCAAAAAGAAAATGAACAACTGCTAGGAGTTCCTGTAGCAGATGACAGCACTGATGAAGAACAAGCGTTGACTGTATATGAGTGTTTTAAGAAATAGGTTGTCTCCCATACTAGTAAGGTAATGTGTTTTGACACCACTGCATGAAACACTGGAAAATTTAAAGAAGCTTGTACAATTTTGGAACACATGTTGGGTAGAGAAATGCTTTACCTAGCTTGCTGTCACCATATTTTTAAAATCATGTTAAGGGGAGTTTTCGAATGTAAGTTCAAATCAACAACTGGAGCTCAACCTGATATGTTCAAAAGATTCCAAAAGGCATAGCCGAAACTTAATTGGAAATGATATGAGACTGGTATCAGCAGCTAAACTGTGAAAAGGCATCTACCTGAAGTAATTGCCAAGATATCTGCAAATTTCAAAATTAAACTTGTGAAATCACACCCCAAGATGGTTACAAGGAACTCCTACATTGGTTTTTGTATAATGGAATGGAAGTGGAGTTTAGATATGTAGGTGCTATCAGTCAGGCAAGGTGGATGGCCAAAAACCATCTATTATTTAAAGACCAGTTGTAAGATTAACTGGTTTCATTAATAAGGGTAACAAGAATTTTTTTTAACGTTTCAAGATTAATGCAGATTTTCTCAGAGAAGCCCCCAGTAGCTGGCTTGAAAATATATATAATTTGAGGAAAGATTGAGGATTGTGAAGTCACTAAAGGTTGTAAATGATGTGGCAGAACAAGAAGTGAAATTATTTATCATCTTTAATAACCTTCTCACCAAAAATGAAGAGCAAAAACAATATGTTTTACAAGTAGTTCACAAATGCCAAAAGCTATATCCAGATGTTTCTAAAAAATCTTCAGGCAAATCTTTAGAATAGATTATTCATTTTTGTAGTAAAGATGGCAATTAATATAATTTCTTTTTTCATTAAAATACATTTTAATATGTTTTAAAAAAACATTTTAATTTTACTTTATCATAAATATCATACTCTGAAAAGTATTGCATAATTTTTATTACATAATTTCCTTAATAGAGGTTTCTTGTCACATTTTTAATGAAAAAGCCTCTTATAGTTTGTTTTGACTATAAGAAATAACAAATATAGTATATATATTTCTTAGAAAAATGTCTATGAATCAAGACATACACAAGGAAATAATAAAATTTTAGAGAGATAGGGTCCAAAAGCTTTGTTAGGACATTAAAAAATTGATTTTTTTTAAAATTTAAAGTACCAGCTATATATATATATATATATATATATATATATATATATATATATATATATATATATATATATATATATATATATATATATATAGCTGTTTCATATTGTATATATATATGTATATAATATAATATATATATAATATATATATATATATATACAGGCCTATTCTAGGAAAACAATTTGGGCGGTGATACCCCCTCTGGCTAACTTTAGTGGAAAATATGCATTTTTTTTGCAAAAAAAAATTTGCCATAAAAAAAAGCTCCTCTAATTTGGGTGGCGCCCAAATCATCGCCCAAATATGTTTGATGCTATTGAAAATGGTCTACAATAGCCCCTGAAATATATATATATATATATATATATATATATATATATATATATATATATATATATATATATATATATATATATATATATATATATATATATGTATATATATATATATATATATATATATATATATATATATATATATATATATATATATATATGTATATATATATATGTATATATATATATATATATATATATATATATATATATAATATATATATATATATATATATATATATATAGAATATATATATATATATATATATATATATATATATATATTATATATATATATATATATATAAAAAAACACCTTCAAAAAAAATAACACCTTCATAAGATAGCATGTTTGTACTGATGCTAATTTTAGTGAATATAGCCTTAAATGAAAATTAGAATAAATGAAAAATTATATATATATATATATATATATATATATATATATATATATATATATATATATATATATATATATATATATATATATATATATATATATATATATATATATATATATATTATATATATATATATTCATCTATATATATTTATAAACATAGCTTGAATTTCAATCCAAAATAAAACTTTATTTATTTATAGGGTTTTTAAAGATTTAAGCAACCCTGGCCATAACCACAGTCTTGTCCTTGGTCCCGGCTATGATTTATCAAACCTGGCCCTGACTCCAGTCAAATATCAGCCCCTGTTGCTTACTACTTATGTAATCTTTAAAGAATATTATTGTTTTATAAATTCTCAATGTCATTTCAAATTGTCAATGTTTCTTTATTTTTATTATTGCTAAAACATTAATTACCTAAATCTTAAATTGTTATTAAAATTAGGCGAGTTAAAAATCCAATAAAGTTTATTCAAAATCAATTTACCGCTCTGGAACCAAGGAAAATATATTATTATTAAGCAATATAAGTATATACAACTAAATAATAAAATTAATCACTTTTGCGAGACCTTGTATTGGTATTTATGCCAAATTTATATAGCACTCCTAAATAATCTGCAAATAACAAAAATACGTTGTTGCTATGCAAAATTAGGTATCCGCAGAGATGAAATAAAAAAAATAATATCTTTATAAGATAGCATGTTTGTACTGATGCTAATTTTAGTGAATATAGCCCTAAATGAAAATTAGTTATGAATTTTCTCCAGTAAAGTGAATTCTAGCCCACTGTGTATCATGTGTTGTATAGTTTTAGCATCAGTAGTACTATATAACACCTGTTACACTATTGTTATTAAAAACATTATAATATTAACAATGTTAATTAATAATTAAAATACCTATGAAATTATTATAAGTATTATGTAATATACAATATTATTATAAATGTTATTACATAAAAAATTAAGTTATATATATTTATTTTTGTTTAGTTATTTTTTGTTGATTATATATTTTATTAATGATATTTGATATAATCAATTTTTTTTATTATTAATAACTTTTGCATGCCTAATTTAGTTTTTACAACTATTTTGAAAAATGAAAATAAAAATAAATGATTTTGAATGTTGAAATAATAGATAATAGTTTAATGTTATTTTACTTTTTTTTACCCATTTAGTTTACCCTTTCAGAGTTATTAGACTTAGATATTGTCAACAATTTACTTGTAATTTCTTTCTCAATGTGGTCAGTGTATTATATGGTTCTCTATAAAATTTAACAAGGAAAAAAATAAACTTTTTCAGTGAAACATCAGTCAGTTTTTAACTACAACAATTTATCTACTTACATTGCAGAAGTCATATAGTTAATAAGTTTTAAATGATTTAACTTCAATAAACAACAATCTTGTTCAAGTTATGACAATTAAGCAGCATTTAATTTTAAATAATCACAATCAAGATGATGATGATGATGATGATGATGATGATGATGATGATGATGATGATGATGATGATGATGATAGTGTTGATGATAATGATGCCAATGATGATGATGATGATGATAGTGTTGATGATAATGATGATGATGATGATGATGATGATGATGATGATGATGATGATGATAGTGTTGATGATAATGATGTCAATGCTAATAATAATGATGATGATGATGATGATGATGATGATAATGATGATGATGACGATGATGACGATGATGATGATGATGGTGTTGATGGTAGTGGTGGTGGTGATGCTGGTGATTTTTATTGTTATATTTATATACTAAAAAGTTTTCTTATTTTTAAATTTTAGACTCACATTGGTTCCATCTTAGTGGCAGTAAACCCTTATAAAGTTATACCAGGTGTATATGAAACTAACAAAATGCAAGAGTACAACAATAAATATCTTGGAGATCTGCCACCTCATATTTACGCAATTGCCAATGAAGCTTATTATGCATTGTGGAGAAAAGGAGGTAACCAGTGTGTCTTAATCAGGTAGTGATTTTTTATAAAATTTGTTTATACATTGGTGTTTTTATATTTTTTTATATTGTTTTTACATTTGTATATACAATGTTTGTATGTAAATTTTAAAGTGGCGAATCGGGTGCTGGAAAAACAGAATCTACTAAACATATTCTTGGATTTCTTTCTGAAATGAGTCGTAACCTATCTGATGAAAAAAATCTTATATCAGAGAAAAAAAATGTTGAAGAAGTGATCATACAAAGCAGGTAATAAGTTAGTTGCAGAAATTTACATCATACCCAGAGGGGCTCAATGCAAGAAGTTTATACTTTTGAATGTTTCAATAAGTACATCAATCTTTTGCATAGGATCATATAAATAATTTTGTTCACATTAGCTATGTTTCTGCTATGTTTCTGCTAATTTTACTTTAGTTGATGTTTTGAACTGATATTCTTGTAAACCAAGTATCATTTCTTAATTAATCATTTAGAAAAAAAAGTTTTGGTTGATCTATTATAAACCCTATTTTTGCATTTTTTTAATTAACTCTAATTGGGTACCGTTTTGCTTTTGTCATGCATATATTAATTAAAACAAAAGATTCTGGGATCAAAATACCTATAAACAACTCAAAAATGTATAACAACAACAATAAATTTTATTCAGTTTGTAATACAAACTCTCAATAACTTTTTGAATTCTTGTTTAGTGTTTGTTAATTTTTAAGAGCTAATTACAATGAAAGTTTTTTTCAGTTTGATACATTTTGATTCGGTAGTTTAAATTTAACATTTAAAAGCCTAATTACTCCAAGTCTTTATTTTTACCAGTAGATAGTTTTCTTTGGCAATTAATGAAATTTAATAAACAAATAAATTTAATGAATCTTTATAGCCTCAGGGTGGGTATATTTTCCAAAAGTTAACTATATACCTCTCCTTTGTATTAAGCACCTGAGATTAAATGCTTAAACAAAAAGAATTTGAAAAGGTCAGAAAAATATTAACCAGCTCTCTAAAGATTGACTGTTAAAATGATATTTTTAAAATTAAAATATTAGAAATATATTTAGTTAATAACTATATCATTTTTTTTTTTTAAATTGCGACCAAATAAAATAAGTACATATTTACAAAAATGTTTATAAATAAGTTTTAATCCATAATTTTTAAGAAAGCTTAAATTTTAACTCTGAAAAATTTGTTCAAAATAGTTTATAATCTTTTAAAATTTATTTAAAAGATATTTCTTTTGTATTAGTAATAATTTTGTATTATTAGTAAAAGAATTACACAAAGAAATCCTTAAATACACATAAAAAAAAGTGAAAAAATTGAAATGAGCGACAAAACTAAAAAAATAAATAAAAAGTTAAATTTTTTAAAACAAAATTTAAATTTTACAAAGATATTTAGGCACACAAGCCATTGTGTGCCTAAATATCTTTTTAAAATTTAATACAACATAAATAGTTGCTTGTTTCTGTAAAAGCAAGTCTTGAATTAATTTTTTTTTTTATAGACAAGAAAACAATTTAAAAAATTAATAAACTCCATAATTTCACACTTCTGAAATAAAGCTACACCACTAATAATACTACACTGATATAAAATTTGATACATACTTTTTTAAAGATAACTATTAAGACTTTGTTCAGACCATCACACACCTTGAGCTGAAATATGAAAGTTGATAATTTGCTGGTCCAAGAAAGTCATAAAAGTAGAAATCTGAGATTCATTAAATCGATAAAATCACATTTTTCATGTTCATATTTTAAAGAACTAAATGATACAGAAAATCAACAATAAAATTATGGCTATTTCCAGTATTAAAATCAACAATGCTGCATTCTGTATTTATACCAGAACTAATAAAGAGTTTATAAATTTCTTTGTTATAATGATTATAAGTATTACTTGCATTTTAGTTAATATTATTTTTATTCTTTTTGACAAGAAAATCTACAAGATGTAAACTTTTATATTATTATATAATTTTGAAAGCTTTAGTTTTCTTTTATCCTTTTTTTCTAAGTTTGTCATCGAATCTTTAGTAACTCTTTTTTTAAATTACATCAGCTAGCAAATGTTGAAGGTAGCAAGATGAGAATAAATCCTAATAAGATTGTTTTTTGCACTTTTATGTTTTCTTCAGAATTAGTATCAAGTCTTCTTGCATTTTGTATTGTTTGTCCGCGTTTCAATCCCAGAAAACTTTGCAAAAAGTTTATGAAATCGATTTTTAGAACCGCAGCGGTACCTTATTGATATTAATAAGTTATTTCATATATTATATATATATATATGTATATATATATATATTTTTTTTTGGCAAATTCAGTTTTATTACTTTATCTCTAAATCCATAAATAAAAGTAAAAATAAAATAAAAATAAAATAGTATTTTCGTTTAAACAAACTTTTTAGTTTTTATTTAGCAAGTATTTTGTTAAATATATTTTAAATGCTTGTATTTCCTTATGCTTTAAATAGTAATAGTTATTGCGGAAAACACACTTTGACTATGTGACTTTAAATTATAGTTTTTTTTTGTTTTTTTTGAATATATTATATAATATCAATTTTTTTTAGTCCAATACTAGAAGCCTTTGGAAATGCCAAGACAGTTTATAATAATAATTCGAGTCGTTTTGGAAAGTTTATGCAACTTGATTTTTCAAATAAAGGAAGTATCACTGGCGGAACAATTATAGATTGTATCTTTTATATCTATTGTTGTTAATATTAATTATAATAATATGTTTGTAATTTGATTTTCCTCTCTTTTTTTTAACTTTTTTTTCAATTTAATTTCAAAAGACCTTCTAGAAAAGGTAGGATATATTTTCATAATTATTCTTAATTATTTCAAAGTTTCCAATTGTTTACTGCTGATGATGTATTTATTTAAAATATTTTTTTTAAACATATTTGTTTGTTTTTAGAATTATGTCACATGTTCTGACTGTTCTATGCATTAAAAAACTCTTTTTTTTTTAATTTACATCTTTTAAATGTATTTTTACAACTGTTTACATTTTTAATGTACTATTTGCAACACTCTTTGAAACATTCTTTGCAACATTTTATAAAAAACTTTTTGCAACACTTTCATAAATGATCAAATTAAATTATGTTATGATGTAATTTTTAATGTTTATTGACTCTGAAAATCTGAAAAAAGATTTGTAATTAAAATTTTTTTTTGAGAAAAGTTTCTAAATAATGCTTTAGATTTTGAAATTAATTATTGTCATTTTCTTAAATTTATATTAAAATAATTAATTATTGCCATACTTTTAAATTCACATTAAAATAATTAATTATTGTCATGCTCTTAAATTCACATTAAAATAATTAATAAAGATTCTATTTGTTGTTGTTTCTAACAAAAAAAATGTATAATGGTATCTTTCTTTATAGAACCGTATTGTTCGACAGAATCCAGGTGAAAGAAATTTCCATATTTTTTACTCATTGTGTTTAGGAACATCACCAGAGCAAAAAGGTAAAAAGGAATTTTATGGAGTTGCAATGTTTTTAATTTAATAAAAAAAAATTTAAAGGATTAAATTACTTTATGAAAATAGTGTTAAATTTACGAGATTTATTTAAAAATTTTATCTAATAAAAACCGTTTTTTTTAAAGCTCTATTCACGATCAATAATCCTGATAAATATCATTATTTACAACAAAGTGGTTGCATAGAAGATCCAACAATTAATGATAAAGAAAACTATCAAAGTATAATTGTAAGTTCAACTTTTATGATGTTATGTGTCTTATGTAACATGACATCTGTGGTTTTTAATTTTTTAAGTTCGTCATCATGATCATCATTAATCATGATCCTCATAATCATCATCATCATTATCATGATCATCATCATCATTATCATCATGATCCTCATAATCATAATGATCGTCATGATCTTCATCATGATAATGATGATCTTCATTATGATGATGATGATCTTCATGATGATAATAATGATAATGATGATGATCATCATCATCATCATCATGATAATTATGATCATGATGATGATGATGATCATGATTATGAGAATCATGATGATAATCATCATGATCATGGCCATGATGATCATGATGATAATCATCATGATCATGGCCATGATGATCATGATGATAATCATCATGATCATGGCCATGATGATCATGATGATAATCATCATGATCATGGCCATGATGATCATGATGATAATCATCATGATCATGGCCATGATGATCATGATGATAATCATCATGATCATGGCCATGATGATCATGATGATAATCATCATGATCATGGCCATGATGATCATGATGATAATCATCATGATCATGGCCATGATGATCATGATGATAATCATCATGATCATGGCCATGATGATCATGATGATAATCATCATGATCATGGCCATGATGATCATGATGATAATCATCATGATCATGGCCATGATGATCATGATGATAATCATCATGATCATGGCCATGATGATCATGATGATAATCATCATGATCATGGCCATGATGATCATGATGATAATCATCATGATCATGGCCATGATGATCATGATGATAATCATCATGATCATGGCCATGATGATCATGATGATAATCATCATGATCATGGCCATGATGATCATGATGATAATCATCATGATCATGGCCATGATGATCATGATGATAATCATCATGATCATGGCCATGATGATCATGATGATAATCATCATGATCATGGCCATGATGATCATGATGATAATCATCATGATCATGGCCATGATGATCATGATGATAATCATCATGATCATGGCCATGATGATCATGATGATAATCATCATGATCATGGCCATGATGATCATGATGATAATCATCATGATCATGGCCATGATGATCATGATGATAATCATCATGATCATGGCCATGATGATCATGATGATAATCATCATGATCATGGCCATGATGATCATGATGATAATCATCATGATCATGGCCATGATGATCATGATGATAATCATCATGATCATGGCCATGATGATCATGATGATAATCATCATGATCATGGCCATGATGATCATGATGATAATCATCATGATCATGGCCATGATGATCATGATGATAATCATCATGATCATGGCCATGATGATCATGATGATAATCATCATGATCATGGCCATGATGATCATGATGATAATCATCATGATCATGGCCATGATGATCATGATGATAATCATCATGATCATGGCCATGATGATCATGATGATAATCATCATGATCATGGCCATGATGATCATGATGATAATCATCATGATCATGGCCATGATGATCATGATGATAATCATCATGATCATGGCCATGATGATCATGATGATAATCATCATGATCATGATCATCATTATTATCATGATCATGATCATTACCATCATCATGATCATCATCATGATCATTATCATGATCATTATCATGATCATCATCATGATTATCATGATCATCATGATCATGATCATCATGATGATGATCATCATAATGATGATCATCATGATTCTCATGATCATAGTGATCATGGTCATGATCATGAAAACAATAATCATCATGATAAAGATCGTCATAATGATGATCGTGATTATTAGGATCATGATCATAATTAAGATTATCATGATAATGACGATCATCATAATAGTTATCTTGATGATGATTGTGATCATGATCATGATGATGATCATCAAATTTTTTTTTTAATTTACTATTATCTTAATAATTATTATTTTTTGATTTAAGTATTGACTGCTATTTTATTTTTATTATAATTTTCTTGAGATAAGCTAGTCTAAAAATAAGAGTATTTATTCTCCACAAATATAAGTTTTATGAAGCTATTATTATAATGAAATTAGTTTAGTAAAACATTTGTGGAAGGAAAAAAAATAATTGAAATCATTCAAAAATATGTTAATCTTTTTTATTACAAATATAAAACCCTTAAAAACAAAAAAACTTATAACAAAGCTAAACAGAGAGGGAAAAAAAAAAATGTACCCAAGAAAGAAAAACATATGCCCAAGAGAAAAGCTATTAAAAAAAGAGATTGTAAATTTTAATTGTTCTAATCTAAAATAATTCTCAATATTACCATTGCAATATTACCATGGTACAACTATTATTCCTTTTACTATTTAAGTTTCAAAACCCAATAACTTTTGTTCTGTGCTTCATCAATGTGAATTAAGTTGTAATTGTTTTGAATTTGGAAAATTGCATAATATCTGCATAAATTATATTGTAATTAAAGATTCTGATTGACCTTTAAAGTATATTTTAATGATTATCTTTAAAGTTGTTTGGAATTATATTTTATATCATATATATAATGCTATTGTCAAGTGTTATGTTGACCTAAAATTTTGCAACAAAGTTTTCCCAATCTGTATTTGGTTAAGTGTGGTGCTCTTGAATTTGGCTAAGTGTGGTGCTCTTTTGCTGAACTGAAATTTTTTATATTTTTAAAACTACTATAAACTTTTTTTGGAAAAATAAAAGTTCACATGTCATTTTTTGTTGCCAAAAACACATCTTTTTTTTATTGACTATCGATGGCATGCTAATTAACATAAGAGTAAAAGCTTAACTTGATATGAATTTTTTCCAGGTTTGAAAGTGTTTTCAACTGATTCCACCTTACTAGATTAAATTTGAATAGTCATGTGCAGTAATTTTATTTTAATAACCACCCTCCTTCCTCCACCCTCCTTTCTTTAATTGAATAAAATTATATTGAACAACTTCTAGTGGTTGTTTTTGATTACTTTACAAAGCCATGACCTTGGATACTCAAAACATTAAATTTTTATACAAATCTACTTTATTTAGGTTTCAAAAGATATTTAGATTTTAGTACAAATATATTTAGATTTTCCTGATTGTGTATATATGTTTTTGACTTCTTTGGCTAAGGTTGTCAAATTTATTTAAAGAAGCAGCACATTGCTTGAAAAATTTCAAAAAAACAGTGCTATAGTAGTAGTGATGTACCGATTAATCGGCATCGGCATTGTATCGGCTTGATCTGCCACTTTTTGCGGAATCGATATCGGCATTGACCTTTTTTCATTATCTTACAGATTTTCCAACCGATAGCATTTTAATATTTTTATCTTGCATTATGATAATAATTAAATGATAAATAAACTAAACTTTATGCATTACTTAGAATTTTTTTAAGAAATTGTTTATTTTGACTTTGTTTACAGGCAAATTTCTTAAGATGATGTTTGTCAGCTTTGATTTAACAGCTGAATGTACTTTTACTTTTATTACCATAATTTTGTTTTTAGAACAATTTTATTTTGTGTTGTTCTAATGTTATACTTAAAAGTAACCTAATTAAGCATTGTTATGTATGTGTTCAAGTATAGCCTTCTATATTTCTATATGATTGTTGTTTAGATATCTAAAAAGAAATCTAAGTAAGCTTATTTTAGTACCATTTTCTTTTTAAAATTGAATTAAAAATTGTTCTAAAATTATATTTTTTTTTTAAGATTTTTTTTCATAGTAAAAAATACTAAAAAATCTTTATTTTTTTACTGAGTTTTTTAAATATCTTTTAAAATAATGGTTTGGCTCTGATTGGGTTTAAGTATTTGTTTATGAGTACTGATTCCATGAAAAATTTATGCAATTTAAAATTGTATGGTTTTATATTTTTAAAATTTTAATAGTTATTTAAATTATCGGTATCTGCATCGGTATCCACCTTTTTCTATCTATTGGCATCGGTATCAGCATCGGCCACAAATGTGCTATCGGTACATTTAGACTTTTATATAATTCTTTTATTGTGATTTCTGTTTAAAGTTTTTTATGTACTACAATAAATTTCTCTCTACTTTGGGACAGTTTTTCTATTTTCTGATATCTGATGACCATTTCAACTCTCTTAACAAACTTGATTAATAGTTAGAGCTGTCAAAGTTTGCCTGCCCAGATACCCGTCCAATTAATGCGCAGTTACACAGGTACCCGTTAAAAACATTTAATTTTAAACAGTCCATTATTTTTCATCTTCAAGAATTTGAAAGAGTTTTTTGTCTGAGATACAAACTATAAATGGGTTAGAGGAGTTCTGATTTGCATAAAAGAAAACATTGTATATAAAGCAAGGAATAATAAGTGAGTTTCTGAATTAGAAATTATTTCTTTTTGAATTTTATGTTCAATGTTTTCAAAAATTCTGATCAAATTGCAACTGTTGAAAATTTTTAACAATATCTTTTTTCACATACCAAGTTAATATTGTTAAATTGTTATATTACGATTTATGATTTTAAACTTAAAGAATAAATAAAATAAATTTTAATCTTATTAAATGACTGTCATTTAATAATTCTACCTAGTCAGTAACCATTATGCCAGTGCTTGGATACATGTTAGCAGCCTTATTAATAACACCATAAACTTTAAGGTTACACCTACTTACATCTTAATTATATCTATGTAGCTAGATAACTGCTATTTTGTTATAGATACTGCTGTAACATTCTGCTCACACTTTAGCATAGGTCTGGGTCTTAATACCAGATCTGAAGATAAGTTGTGATAAACTTTGTTTTAGCCATGTAGTTGTAATTTTCCTCTTAAGAAATTTAAAATTCTTCTTAAAAAAATTAAAAATTCTCAATAGGAATGAGATTGGTGAAGTTACAAGGTCATGTAAGTGTAGTATAACATGTGTTGTCCATGCCCTAAATAAATGACATGCAGCCAAATCTGCTTAAATCTACATTAATGACCTTCCTGACAATCTCACTACTAAAGTGCCTCTATTCACTAATGTTTAAATTTATATTCCTGGTATGACAAAAAATCTTGAATCTAATCTCACTTCTGTAACAGATTAGAGCTTGCATTGGCTTGTGAATTTCACCTCCAACATAACTCAGGTTTTTACTGCAAACAATTATCACAACACTGTTGACATTTATATATTAATGAATGGCAATCCTCTCACTAAGTCCTCTTCTTTACAACTTGAATATTGTTCACTAATGACCTCTTATAAAAATCATATATACAATCCATTGCAAAATTAGCATCTGCTAAAATTGTTTGCCTCTATTGTACTTGCAATTGTCTTATTCCTGATTCCTCTACAAATCTCTTATTTATATCTGCATGGAATACTGTTGTCATATTTAGGCTGGCTCTTCTAATGATGCTTATTCTCTTTCGGACAAGGTCCAAAAATGCATTATAAACCTAATCAGACCTGCTTTATCTTTCAAGCTTAAACTTTTTTACCATCGTCATGAGGTTGCATCTCTTTCTCTTTTTTTACAAATACTATCATGGTTGCTGCTGGTGCATGCTGCAGGTTGCATCATGGTTGCTGCTCAAAGGAGAATTGATCTCTAGTTTAATCAATCAAAGTTCATTCTCGCTTGACTCGTCATCCTGCATTTTTTTACTTTATCTGTTCCTGCATCTCTAAAGACTTTTATTCATCTAGTTTGTTTCCCTGAATTTCAATTGTTTAAAACTCTCTTCTATCTTCATGTTTTACTGTCTTCTACAACCTTTAACTTTTTAAGTCTTTTGTCTATTGCTTCCTTGCGTAACTTCCAACTTAATAGTAGTTGCTTGCAGTCTTGTTGGGAGTTTATTATGAAGAAGAATCAAGGAGAATTAGATTATTAAAAAAATTGAAAGTCGATTAAAAAAAAAATTTAGTCTCAATAAATTATGTAAATTGTTTGATTATTTATGTAAATTGAAACATTTGTAGCATTAATAGTATAGTCTAATATTGATTAATAATATTAATTTATTTTAATAATAATATTAAATTGAATAATAACAGTGAATAATATCAATAAAATATAAGAAAAAGTTTTGTTTCATTATCAGCCTGGAAAAACAATGAAAACGAATGAGCCTCATTCCTAAAATAAGAATTGATTAAAAAATTAAAAATAATAAAGAAATTAGTAGACCCCTGTATACAGATTGGGCAAAAGTTCAATCTGAATGCAGGCTCTAAACGGTTTCTCACTGTGAGTAGAAAGAAATTAGACTTTTATTTTGATAAATTTAAATGTATTTTATAAAATACTCAAAGTAGTATGAAATTGTAAACAACCTTACATTTAAAAAATAGTTTTTGTTTTTAAATTTTTTTTTTTTTTTTAATCAAAAACTAAACATCTTGTGCATAATTCATAAGAAAAAATTATTTTATATTGCGATGATAATATAAATATCATTTATATTATATGACCATAAGATGCAAATTTCATAAGTGCGAATGGCATAAGTTTGAACTTGCGCTTTTGCCATTTTTTGGCCCATAAGTGTGATACGTAATAATTGCTTTGCAATTATTACATGTCACACTTATGCGCCAAAAGAATTTGCAAACGTTGGCATTAGTGCAAACTAGCATAAGCATGCCAAAAGTATTTGCAATTTGGCATAAGTGCAAACTGGCATAAGTGAAAATCAGCATAAATGTTAACTAGCATAAGTGTGCCAAAAGAATTTGTAAACATTGGCATAAGTTTAAACTGGTATAAGTGTATAAAATAAAAAAAGTTATGCAAATTTAATCAACACACTTATGCAAATTTGCACTTATGCTGATTTGCACTCATTCACGTTTTTGCAACTGCAACAAAAACTGGCATAAGTGTGAACTGCTATATAATGCTGATTCGCACTTATACCATTTGCACTTTTGCCAGCTTTTGCAACTGCTTCACACTTATGCCAGTTCACACTTATTCAGTCCCCCTGGGCAGCACATGTAAATTTTTAAATATTTTGCTACGGAAAAAATTATTTAACATCAAAAAGTTTTCCTTCATCAAAAAGTTTGGTTCATATATTTATATATTAAAGGGATCTCAAACTCCCAACACATGTTGTGTTCATATTAAAGATAATGTTAAAAAAAAAGGTTTGAACCAAGTTTTTTTGATTGAAAATAAATAATGAATGCATACCGAGAAAAACTAACGTTGTTGTTATAGCCGAAGCTTGCCTTATCCATTTTTTTCAATAACTCAGAGTCTTTAAATTATATGTTGCAATCTACAGACTTTGGCGATTCCTTTGAAGCGCATTTAATTCATAAAAGTTTTAGTATTTGACGTCACGGTAGACTTTTAACAAATGAAATATTTTTATTTATTTTTATTCGAACTTTTTTTGATTATTTGCGAAGTTTTTTTTTTTTCTTCTATTTTTAACATTTAAAAAGATATTAAAAACCTCAAATATTTTATGCTGGTTCGTTGCTATAAATTGTTATTGCGCCATATATTTAATGTTTATAAATTATGTATATTTATTATCTCAATCAAGACTCTGATAAAAAATTGTTTTACATTAATTACCGTTATAAAATTAGTAGCAGCATTTTTATTTCGTTAGACAATATTTCGTCTCAATTTGCTTTGTATGAAGTTCGGGAAGTCAAGCGAAAAAAATTAGTTTGAATAATCGCTTTGAAATATATTTAAAACAAATTATTTTAATGACGGGGGTTTAAAAATTTTTTATAACAAAGTTCAACATTAAACATCATTTCTCTATTATATTGCAAATGTAAATATTAACTTGAACTAAATTTACTTATTATTTAGAACGACTAAGCAATAAAAATAAAAAGCCCCTAAAATTATGCGATATTGTGTTGTTTACTTGATAGTTGTTGTTGGTAATGTTGTTTATGTTGATTATTTTCATTAATATCAAAAAATAGTCCCAGATTAATCTGTTTGTTGCTTTGTTCATTGTTGCTTTATTTCTAATTTGATTTTATCTTAAAGTATAAATTTATGTAAAGAAAGAAAAGTTATTATTTCATCGCTCGCTCTTTTTATAAAAGAGTAGAACAAAAGAGAAAGAAAAGTTTCGTGTAATTAAACTTCAAATGAATAAGAGTTGTATAGAATATTTTTTTTTTTTTACGTCACTCGTTCTTTTTTTAGATAAGAGAATTAAAAGTTTAATAGTAACTTTTTTTTGAATAAATGAGAATTGGAAGAGAAAATTGCTTGAAAGTTTGTATTTGTTAATTGTGTTTTTAAAAATTTTTAATTTTTCATGTTAAGAGACAAATACCAATAACGACAATATTAAATATAAAATACCAAATATAATATGTTTTTTAATGCGCATTATGACATTTTGACAATTTAAATTACCATCTATCTTGAATTATTGCCATTAATTAATGTGTTAATTATTGTGTTGTTTAATAATAATTTGTCCGTATTTTTGTTAAAAATTAGTTGTATAAAACGCGCAAAAATATACAAACTTCATGTTTTTTATTTGATGGTTATATAATATTGAACTGTAAACTTATAATCAAAATTTATAATGTCTACTTGTGTTGCTATTAATTGTACTTTTGATAAAAAACCAGGATCTCACATATCCTTTCACGAACTTTCATATCTGATACTACTGTCAACTGTATTGTTTATTATATTCTTGTACTTTTTTTTCAAAACCTTAGCAGGTTCTAATTGGTATGGAGTTGCCGACATTTTAAAAGTTTCATTATCAAAAATCAAATATAAAATAAAATGATATTTCCTTTTTATCCGTATCCAACTCAGCAAATTTAGCAATTTAAAATAAATCAGCGTAATCAAAAAATTTTTATCATAAAAAAAGTTAAAAATTCATCAAATATCTCTAAATAATGTCAGTTAATGAAATTAATTGTAAATAAATACTTTTTTTCGATGGGAAAACAAAAAATATCATAGCGTAAAAATAACCAGAGAAGTTAGAAAAAAGTCTCATTGTTTAAACAAAAAAAGGTTCAGAATATATAATACTGCTCTCTCTTGCACAAAAACGAGAGACCGTATACATAACGTTCTATATGATGTAAAACACTCGTATGAAAATCATAAGATTCGTAAGTAAAGCTTTAATATTTATTTCAATTTAAAAACAAAAGAATTATAAAAAAGATATATAAATCTAAAAATTATTAAGATATCGGTAAAAAAAAAGTTCTTCCTATGAAATAAAAAACTTTTATTATTTTTGATTTTCACAAAAATTTGTTGTGAAAGTTGTTTTGCTGTATGTTAAAAAATTACTACAAGGTACTTTTTGAATTAAAGTAGCTTTGTTCAATTACACTTTTGTTAATAGCCTACCATGGCGTCAAATGCTAAAGCTTTTATGAATTAAATGCGCTTCAAAGGAATCGCCAAAGTCTGTAGATTGCAACGTATAATTTAAAGGCTCCAAGTTATTGAAAAAAATGGAAGAGAGCTTTGGCTAAAACAACAACATTAGTTTTTCTCGGTATGCATTCATTATTTATTTTTAATCAAAAAAACTTGGTTCAAACCTTTTTTTTAACATTATCTTTAATATGAATACAACATGTGTTGGGAGTTTGTAATCCCTTTAAAATACATTTTAATATTATATTTGGTTATTATTTTTTATACTATAATTGCAGAGGTGTGAGGTGGATTTATAATGTAAAGTTAGAACATATGAGAAGGAGGTTTAAGGTAGAGTTTTAAGGTGAAGATATTTGTTGAAAGTATGATGCAGAGGTGAGAGGTGAAGAATTGATATAGGGAAAGGGAGGTGTAAGTATTTCAAAGACTTTTTTTCTGAACTCTTTTTTATGATTTTTCAAATAAAAAAGTATAGAAAAATATTCTAATATAAATTCTTATTTTTTACTTTTACATAGCATGCCATGAAAGTGATTGGTCTATCTAATGAGCAAATAAGCAATATTCATTATGTTCTATCCAGTATTTTACAACTAGGAAATATTACATTCATACATACAGGCGGTGCACAGATTAGCAACAAAAATGGTATTTTTTAATGCTTTGTTATAAGTGTTTTGTTATAATTATGCATAGAATCAGGGTTGGCAAAAACCTGTTTTTTTTTTAAAAAAAGATCCACATCAGTGGGTTTTTTTGTGGGCAATTTGAGGTTGTTTGGGTTTCTATTTTTGTTTTTTATCTGTTAAAACTTTTTTTTTTGTTTAATTATATTGAAAACAGTTATAATTTTCTTCTTTAGAATACATTTCATATAATATCATTTAATAATTAATGATGAGAATTTTTGCATAAATGCCATAGATGTTTTCTATCTTAAAAGATTTTAGGCATTAATTTGAAACTGTATTAGAAAAATATAAAATTTTATGTATAACCTACATATATATATATATATATATATATATATATATATATATATATATATATATATATATATATATATATATATATATATATATATATATATATATATATATATATATATATATATATGTATATATATATATATATAATATATATATAATATATATATATATAATATATATATATAATATATATATTATATATATATATATATATATAATATATATATACATATATATATATATATATATATATATATATATATATATATATATATATATATATATATATATATATATATATATATATATAGAAAATTTTATGTATAACCTACACACACATATATATATATATACACATATATATATATATTTATATGTATATGTATATATATAAATATATATATATATATATATATATATATATATATATATATATATATATATATATATATATATATATATATATATATATATATATATATATATATATATATAGAGAGAGAGAGAGAGAGAGAGAGAGCTTGCTTGCTTTTCTACTATTTATATGCATATATATATATGCATATAAATAGTAGAAAATCACTTAGCAAAATTTTTTCTCATTTAACACTGTGTTTCATCAATAAAGACTCATCAGAAAATATTTTCTGTTGAATCTTTATTGACAAAACTCAGTGTTAAATGAGAAAAAATTTTGCTAAGTGATTTTCTACTAATTTGTAATTGATCTGTTCTTTTGAGAACATTGAGCACTCTTTTTGTAGAATACATTTTAAATTGTTTAAATATGTAATATGACAATCTCTATCTGTTAAACAACCTCTATCTGCCAAAATATTTGAATAAAAGTTGTGATAATGTATTTCCAAATAATTATTTAAAGTACATCTACTCTAATAGCTGAACCATCATCTAAAGTTTTTGTCATCATCTTGATCATCATCTCAAGTGGGAGCAAGCTCTTTTCTTTTTTTTGGGATCTGTTAGTTCTATAAGTTTGCCAACACCTTGGAAAAGCAACTGTTGGTGTCATATTACTCTATATCAATTAATATAGAACTTCTTCAATGCAAATGTATTATTGATGATTATGTACCATTTTAAATGATATTCATATTTCTCTTATAAATTTTTAAGTAAATAAACAATTTTTAAAATGATGATTGTATTCTGAAACAATTGATTTTATTGGTGATAAAAAAAAAACTGGTTTAAGCCAATAGTTTGTGCAAAAACTTTGATGGGCAACATGTTTTGCTAACTTTGTTATTCTCTACAGAAAGCCTAATCTGTTGTGTTCGTTTACATAACACAAAGATATATATCACATATATATCACATATATATATTTTTGTTATGGTTGTCTCAGAGATAAACCAATTTCTTTTTTGTGCAGCTGCATTTCTAATAGTATTCTAAAAGTAAAATTAGATTCAAGATTGACTGTCTTTTCTAAGTGATCAAAAGAAAAAGACTTTTTGTCAAGACTGGAGTATAGTGTAGTGTAAAGTTGAGTCATCAAAAAGTTATTTGCAAATAGTTCTACTTTATCCTTGGGAGAGATAATAAGATTAGTTTCATGAATGACAGATAAAATGTTAGATCTACCTTTGTTAATGATGCTGTTAAAGATTCTCCAAAAGTCTCTAGAGCCTAATGTCTGAGATAAGATGTGAGATTTAGTAACTGAGAATAATGGAATTTAGCATTTGACAGCATCTTTTTACATCGATTTCTTGCAACAATAAATAGCTGTTTGTTCTCAAGAGAGTTGTTCTTTTGAAAAAAATGATTACGGTTAGTTATTGCAGCTGCACAAGAGGGTGAAAATCATGGAGTAGAATGAGGCTTGATGTAAAACTAATGAGTTGGAATAAAAGCTTTAATTCCTGCCTGAATCCAGGGGGTTACATAATAAGCGCATTTTCAGCTGAGAAGGAAAAGAGGATAGTAATAAGTAGTGCAATAATAAGGTGAGTCCAAAAAAGAAGTACAAGATGTAAAATTTAAAGAAATCAATGAAGTTATGGGCTTTAGTGCCATCAGGGTCTGTGAAGTTAGAGCCGAGCCATTAAATGTAATGAGCATTAAAGTAACCAATAACAACAATATTGGCAGAGGGGAAATAAGAATGGCAATAAATTTGATCAGAATTTAAATCTAAAAGAGTGCAGTCTTGAGATGAAGGAGAATGATAAAGAATAAAATAAAAGGTGATAGAGTGAAGAGATGCTATGATACCTGCTTGTATAAGTACACCCTAAGCCAAGCATGTAACTATTGGAGTCTTGCAAATCAAAGGATAAAACCCATCCATACTGAAGTCTCAAAAAGAATCAGTCAAACTTAAATAAGTCACATAAAGAGCAAGCAAGTTTGGTTAATTTTTGGGTAACATTCATCTGGAAGAAGGTTACTTTGAAGACCACAAATATTTGTGAAAAATATGTTAAAACTGGTTTTTCATGTTTAGTATTTTGGGCTACTTTGGGCATGATTTAAGTTTAAAGAGATATTTATAGATAGAGAACATTTTCCCAGGCAATGAGCTATGCAGTTGTCTCAGTTCTTTTACTTAACCCAAAAGTTGTAACCTAGGACTTCTTATTTGGCTTCAACAATGCACAACAAAAGCATCAACATGGACTATATCCATGTGTAATATAACGTTGATAATACTCTAGTATTTTACAGTTGTTGATGGAATCATCCTCTATGAAAGCTATCACAGAGTTCAGAAAACGTCAATACCAGTCAACCTCAAACCATTAAACAGAGTTTTAGAGGTGTACCCTCATTAGGAGATAACAGGAATAGTTGCATAGCCACTATCAAAAAGAAAATCTTACAAAAAAAAAAGTCAAAGCTCAAAAAACTAAAATTTGAAAAGAAAAATATATTTATATTACATGTTTTGAAAATACTATACTATGCAAAATATATAATACTTTTTATATAGTATTTTTTGAAAATACTATACTATGCGAAAATATTATACTATCCAAAATGCTTTTTAAATTTTTTTTTTTTTTTAAACTACTTTGCTTCCAACAAGGCTGCAAGCAACCACTAATTAGTGTTGGAAGTTACTGGAAGTGAAAATATGAAGATTGTAGAGCAAGATGAAGATTGTAGAGCAATTATTAAATTCATAAATTTTAAATACAAAAAAACGTAAATATATTAAGTACATAAACTATGCAATTATAAAATACATAAATATGTAATAAAAATGTATAATAAAAATACAAATTTATTAAATACATAAATTACTTTCTAAATATATAAAATACATAAACTATAATACATTATTAAATAAAGTAACAAATTAGTTATAATGTTTAAAATAAGTTTAATTTATTTAAATTATCAAAGAATATTATACCTAATTACATTTATATAAATATGTATTTTTTTGACATAATTACGTTTATATAAATATCAATTTTTTTATAAATCTTTTCAAACTTTTTCTAGGATTAATTTTATAAACACTTTTAATAGCGAACATTTTTAGCTTTGATAGTCATATACATTGCTTAGTTCCATACCTCACTTTTCTTTTGTTTTATAATCAATACATATGCTTTATATATAATTGTTGTGTATTTAATCAATATATAAGTATATATTCTGAAAAAATAAATCAAATTTGTAACAATAAAATAATTACCATTATAATAGCAATAATAATAATAATAAAAGTATATATATATATATATATATATATATATATATATATATATATATATATATATATATATATATATATATATATATACATATATATGGTTATTTCCACACTTTTTGTAGGTTTACATATCAATAAATTTTGTGACAGGTCTATTTTTAGTGTTATATTTTTATATTTGTATTTTGTGTAAGTGCAACACTTATTTCTGCTAAGGTTTTCCTTCATAGTAACTTAACTTTAACTTTAATATCAATATTAAATATTAAAGTGAGGTTTTAACCTATAATAAACATAAAACAAACCATTGAGGAAACAAGATTTTTGTTAGTTGCTGCAGTGAGAGTGTATATTTTTTTTGAAATTATAAAAGATCTCAGAGTCTTTGAAATTTGTGAATGATTCCTAAGTTTCAAAACTAACTTTTAATTTTTTATTTTTCAGTATTACTACTTATAAATATATTCAAATAAAAGTTGTTTTAAAAGATATTTGTATGTATTGCCACAAACAGCTTTTTATACTTTTTTGTTAATGTAAACTTTATTTTTAAAGAACTTGAAAGACTTTCTACTTTGCTACAAATCGATATTTATTTGTTAAATGATGCACTGACACAAAAAAGTATGAATTTACGTGGTGAAGAAATTTTTAGCCCACTTAGTGTTGAACAAGCTGTTGATGCAAGAGATTCAATTGCCATGGCATTGTTTCAAGCATGCTTTAAATGTATAATTCATAATATCAATTTAAGATTGAAAGGAGATCAGACGTTTTCTTCAATTGGGATTTTGGATATATTTGGTTTTGAGAACTTTCAGGTATGTAGCATTTTTTAAATAAAATTTGTGCTAACATCTATGAATTTTTTTTTTTTTTTTTTTTTTTATTTAGAAAAAAAAAAAAAAAAAAAAATTAAAAATTTTAGAAAGTTTAATTGTTTTAAAAAAATTTGTATTTTTTAGTTCTAAAATAGTTTACTCTTTACTTGTTTATAAATATTTTTAACTGATAAAGTTGTCTTTGTATGTGTGAACACACTCATTATATGGTGTGATTATTCACTATTGATGGTTTACGATAAAAGAATCAGATATTTTATTAGCAAATAAAAGTAAAATATCATTTATCATTACTATGTTAAATAAATTCATAGTAGATTTTTTTGATTTTTTTATGATTTTTTGATTGATTCTTTACAATTAATCGGATCATTTGTATTATTGTTAGAGATATCTAGAATTTTTTATGTTAATTTTATTTTATGTTTTTTAATCAAAATCATTAACAAATTTTTAGATTAATCGATTTGAACAGTTTAACATAAATTTTGCAAATGAAAAGCTACAAGAATACTTTAATAAACACATATTTTCATTAGAACAACTTGAATATAACAGGTATGCTTGATGGTTTTTGTATAATTTTTTTTTCATAATTTTTTTCATAAATTCAAGACTTTGTACTGTAAGACAAAGTACTGCATTTGTATTTTGTACTTTGTACTTTGTAAGACAAAGTACTGCATTGAAAAAATAGTTTCATTGAATGCACGATTTCACTGAATATGTGATTTCAGTTATAATATGACCTCAGTTTAATTTGTGTAATAAATGAATTCAATCTAAAATTTCAGTGTGGTGCGTGAGTGTGTGCGTGTATAATTTCAGTAAATCTGTAGTTTCACTGATTATATGGTTTCACTGTATGTAGAATTCCAGTAATTGTGGGATTTTATTGTAAATATTTTTTTTACCTAAATTTGTAATTTTAGCTTTTACATGATATATTATTAGATATAATTGCTAGTTCCCAATCTCTCAAGATTCAATTCTTGTTTTTTTGTCCATTTACAATCATATTTATACTTTTTTATTAAAAAAAAAAATTATTTTTTTTATTTTCAAAAACTAAATGATTTTTTTATAATTAAATGAAATTTAAATTGATTTAAATTAAGTTACATTTAAAATATTCTTATCAAATTAAAATTTAATTATTATGAATATGTCAAATCTTTTAAATTTGGTTATTTAATAGTTGAATAAATTGTAATAATAATATAATTAATTAAATTATAAAAATAATAAAAAGCATCAGTAATGTTTTTACAAATTTTCTTTAAATAAAATTATTTATTCAATATCTTTTTAGGGAAGGTTTAGAATGGACTGATATTGATTGGAATGATAATGGTGAATGTTTAGATCTTGTTGAAAAAGTAAATAAAATATTTATGTGTTGTTATTATGATTCAGGTATAATAGTTGAAAACCATGTATATATATATATATATATATATATATATATATATATATATATATATATATATATATATATATATATATATATATATATATATATATATATATATATATATATATATATATATATATATATATATATATATATATATATATATGTATATATATATATATATATATATATATATATACATATATATGTATATATATGTATATATATATATATATATATATATATATATATATATATATATATATATATATATATATATATATATAATAAAAATAATTATACTTTAGGCCGTGATAATTTAAATAATGCTTTTTTTTTCCTTTTGAAATTTTTTTTATTTAGAAACTTGGTATACTTTCTCTTATTGATGAAGAAAGCCATTTTCCTAAAGGTACTGATGAATCTCTGTTAAAAAAGCTTCATGAAAATCTAGCTGTAAGTTTTTTTATGATCATTTTTTTTCAGTCATTTTTGACTTTGTAAGGTTTTGAAAATTATGTTTAACTTGTTTTATATATCATATAGCATACCAAAATATTTTATGTTATATAATGTCTTTTATATTTTATGTTTTAGAATAATGTCTTTTACATTTTTGTTTTAGAATAATGTTCTGAATAATTTTATGTTCTTTATTATCTTATGAATAATTTTATGTTCTTTATTATCTTTTATGTTTTATATTTTAGAATAATATTTTTTATATTAAACCACGTGTGGCAAATAGCAAATTTGGTATCAAGCATTATGCTGGAGAGGTGAGTTTCTTATTTTAACAAGTCAAGTTTACTTCATCTAAGTTTACATCATAACATAGAGAATTCATGTATTTTTATACAATAGCATTTAGTATTCCCATATATCACTAAAGTTTTACTTTATAAAGATATATTAATCTAGTCCTCAAAATAACCTGAAAAATATAAATTATATTAAAATTTACCCTCTGTTTTATTATATCATAAAATCAAGTTTTGTTTTGAAATTGTTTTTTTTTGTTTATGGAAATTGTTTATATGATTTTTTCAAAACCATTTAATGCGGAAAGTTCTCATGTAACACATAATACAGTTGAAACCCTGACATTGATTTATTGTTTTACAATCAACGAAATTGTTCACAACACTCTTAAAAAAAGACAAATAACATCACTTTGAGTACCCTACGAGTTAACCAATCAAAATCACAAAAATAGAGTTAAGGCATGTAAGGAAAATTTAGCTTATTTTTAGAAACTACTCATGGAGACGATGTGATATTATTACAAGGGATGATTTGTGGTTTTATTTGAGACAAGTTGGACACAAGTTGGTTTACACTAGTTGGGTTGGTGACGATGAAAGTTTAAAAGCTATTGTAAGATGTGACAGATTTAAGCCATAAAGCATGTTCTTCATCTTCTTTAAAACAACAGGTGCTGTTTATTTGGGTTATGTTGAAAAAGGCGCCATTACTAGTCAATATTATATATGAAATTGTTTGAAACCTCTTTCATGCCAAATAAATAAATAAAGACCTAAAATAGGCACTCAAAAATTCAATCACTTATATTTCTTCAAGATAATGCTTGATCTAATGTAACTCAAACCATCACAAATTGCCTTAACTAAGCTGGAATCACAATAATTCACTTCCTGCCATACCCACTAGACTTGGATTTTTTATCTTAAACAAGTTTTTTTAAAGTGTGTGTTTCCACTTGGAATAAAATTATATTTTTGTATTTGATGAATATAAAAGTATAAAAAAGTCATATTTTATTAACAATTATTTTTTAAAACCACATAACAAAGCTGCTTCAAAGTTTACTCAAAGAACATAAAAGTTAAATGTTTAATACATATAAAATGATTTAAAAAAGTTTGAAAATTCCTTGAAAGGCAAATTTGTATAGATAATGGTAAAAAATATTTTCAACATTAAATAAAAAAAAGTCTCTTTACCTTTTTTTTTATAGGAGAGTTCTACAAACTTTGCTAATGACTTAAGTAAATATTTTAAAACCATTATTTTTTCTGAAACTCTATAAAGTTCTGTATATGTATATATTATATACATGATTTATATATATGTATATATTATTTACATGGTTTATATATATATATATATATATATATATATATATATATATATATATATATATATATATATTATATATATATATATATATATATATATATATATATATATATATATATATATATATATGTATATATATATACATACATATATATATACATATATATATATATATATATATATATATATATATATATATATATATATATATATATATATATATATATATATATATATATATACATACATATATATATATATATATATATATATATATATATATATATACATACATTTTATGATTTTTTTACCAACTTTACATTAGTAAATGACTATGAAAGAGTTATTATTAGAAACAAATATTAGAGTTGAAAGTTACTGGAAGAGAAAAGATGAGGTTTATAAAGCAAGATAAAAATTAACAGATAACTAAAATAAGATAAAAGGTTGCAATTTATTTAAGAAGTCACAGTATAAGAATGAGACTTGATTGAATGATGAGTGACACAAGAATAAATTTTAGTAGATGGCACAAGAGATGCTAGCTCTTAAGTGCAGCGCCTATTATTTTGAATTATACAAAAGAAAAAGAGAAGCAACATTACAACAAGATTACAATGTTTAAAGGTTGGCTACAAGTAGGCATTTTTTATTTAGCACATTTTTAAAACGTTTTTTGAATTGCCGCGGTCAAACCATCATAGCAAAATGTAATTTGCGTGGTCATATAAAGACGTAAAATCGCACGCCTTCCTGTGAAAGCCTGATGTATGTGTGATGTGTGTATATATATATATATATATATATATATATATATATATATATATATATATATATATATATATATATATATATATATATATATATATTTAAACTTCAGCAGTTATGATGTTATTTATTGGTTCAGCGTTATTGATACGTTACTATGATTATGATACTTTATAATATGGTTATGACAGTTATAGAAAGATTATTTTTATTTACAATTATTTTTTAAACTAATTATTTTTTAAACTTTTAAACTAACTTCAGCTATGATACATTATATTTATTGTAAGAAAACTATTGATGCATTAAGAAAGTAGGGTTAAAAACGTCTTGGTATTTTTATTTCCATCATGTTTCATGTAATTTTACTGTGAATAAACGAGTCTTTAACGATTTAAAAAAATATATATTTTAAAACATTTGAACTAGCATTCTAAACATCTTTATATTTTTATTGCGTACTTGCCCTTCTAAAAAAAGAAAAGTTTTTTGTAATTAAACTTTGAATGAACGATAATGGAAAGATACAATAGCTTTCAATCTAAGTCTTTTTGAATTTTTTCTTTTAAATAAAAATATATCATTATATTTAAATTATTTTTAATAATATAACAATGTAATGTTTACTATTATAGAATATTTACACAAAAAGTGTAAAAATCTTCAATAACAAGCTTGATAAACATATTATAAAACTCTGATCTCTATGAATATTGCAAAACTGTAATTAGGATGGGCTCATAATAGATTCAACTTGGCGTTGAATCTTAAGGAGCATAAATAAATAAAAAGAGCTTAAAACAAACTTTATTTGCATATTAAAATTTTTATTATATGATTTAAACAAAATGTTTTCAACAAACTTTTTCATGAAATCATATAAAAAATGTTATTCAATTAGAAGCCTTTGATAAATAAACATTTAAACAAGAAATTTTTATAATTTAGTTTCCTCAAAACATTTGCTAATTATTAGCAGTTATGACTACAAAACTTTCATTCGTTCTTTATAAAAAACAAAAACTGGCATTCTAATTTAAACAAAATGACTGTTAATAGAAAGAAGGAAAATAAACTTCAACATTTAGACATAAAATGTTGCTTTATTGTTACGTTAGATTAAAAAGTAATTATCAAAAGCTATTTCGTTGATAAAAAATTTCAAAAACGAAAGAATAAATTTACCTTTAGTTGCAAAAGCGTTGCTAAATGTAGAAATGCAAACTGTGTCAACAAAATCAGTTTGAATAATTAGTAATTTAAAGTTAAGTAAAAAGTTAAAAAATGAACCAATTTAAATTAAATTAGTTTTGATGCAGTTGAGTTGCCCAAGCGGGCTACTCAATCGCATCAAAACATTATTTCCAGTAGCCCATTAGAAAGATTTGGGTTGCATTTGGCAACAGGCGACCATGAGTGTTTATATATATATATATATATATATATATAATATATATATATATATATATATATATATATATATATATATATATATATATATATATATATATATATATATATATATATATATATATATATATGTATATCTATATATGCATATATATATATATATACATATATATATATATATACATATATATATATATATATATATATATATATATATGTATATATATATATATATATATATATATATATATTATATATATATATATATATATATATATATATATATATATATATATGTATATATATATGTGTGTATATATATATATATATACATATATATATATATATATATATATATATATATATATATATATATATATATATATATATATATATATATATATATATATATGTATATATATATGTGTGTATATATATATATATATACATATATATATATATATATATATATATATATATATATATATATATATATATATATATATGTATATATATATATATATATATATATATATATACTTATATACGTATATACTTATATATGTATATATATATATATATATATATACATATATAAGTATATATATATACATATATAAGTATATACGTATATAAGTATATATATATATATATATATATATATATATATATATATATATATATTTTTTTTTTAGGCTACTTACTTTTAAGCTGTTGCATTACAAATGATTTAATATTATCTATGTTTTCTGTATGGGTTTAGCAATTTTTTCATTGTCAAATTCAGCTTTTTAGTTTGATTGAAAATTTGCAACCTAATTTATGCATTTGGTCAAGTGAAATTTATTCTGTTGGCTTTACATATGATTCTGATGCTCTATCCTATAAGCGCAATTTCTAATTGTGTAAAGCTTTCTATTCACTCGATTTGAAAGTGGGTACATAACAAAATCAAAGTAGACGACTAGAAAAAACAAACTAATGCACCATGCTATCATACCTGTTGACAATCATTATTATTTCACTTATATGTTAATTTAAGTTTTTATTTCATTTTATATGTTGTTTCGCATTCCTCTTTGAGTTTTTTTTCCCGCTGGATTCTATATTCAATTGACTCTGGTGTGAACTGACATGCTTTCATTAAACACACTAGCTAAGATTACTTCAAATATGTGATGACAGCATGCAAAATAAATTAGGTTTTATTCCAATTTCTGATCTAGCAAAGCTAAGATACCGTTTCTGCAACCAGTGTTGCTTTCTGTTGTATTGAAGCATATGGCATTTACATGATTGATTACTCCTCATTTTTCCATCAGTTTAACAACTAATGCTTGCGGTTTTTTAGTACCACCAGAATGCTTGGGAACTCTAAGAAGTTGGTTAAGTCTAACACCAGATGGTATGATAGATAGATTGTCAACCAAATCAATCAGATCAGAAAGTAGTTTACCATCCCTATTTAAAACCATCATAAAATAAGATGTTTCTTCAAATATTTCTTTTAATTTTTTGACTGCTGTTTTCTAATATTGTTCTTGCTCTCTGTGGATTGAATAACGGCTGATTTTTAACTCATATTCACTGTGGTCTAGAATTGAAGTTGCACCAGCTAATAAATGTTAACTTTCTGCCCCATAAATTTGTCTTAAGTAAGAATAAATTTTTACTTCTATGAATCCTTGTTTAATTTTAGTCTTTTACTTCCTAATTTTTAATGAGGTGCTATGTCAACTGGTCTCGTATAATCATTGCAGCATTTCTCTCTTTTAGCAAGAAGAAAGTCATTATCCACCTGAATTTGATAATATTTATGACATAAATGTGCAACGCCAAACAAGTTATCAGGATCATCAACACTGTCTCATTCTTTTACTAAGTTTAGGTCTTTATTTAGTATTTTTTTCAACTTAATCCACTTTTCATAAAGGTTTTCCAAATTTGATACGAACTATAGTGCATGCTATTGCCTGTGGCCAATAGTGCGTTTTTAATTACAAAAAGTTACTACCATTCAGACAACAGCTATTGCATTTTCATAAATAAATTTTTAAAGTCTTGTGGTGTAAGAAAATATTTAAATCCTGTTTATTTGAAGGAAGTTTGCCTCCAGATATCTAATCTATTCACAAGCTATTAACCAAACCGAAGTTTTACTTCTAGTTTTTATTGAACATTCAGCCATATTTTTATATTTTGTTTCAAAATAATAAAATTTTAGACGTTAGAAAAATTAATATTATATTAAAGATGTCTGCCAAATAGTTAACAAATCTGCAGACTGCATAAAAAATTCTAGATTTTTTCTTAATGCCCTGAACAACTACATCTGTAAGTTATATAATTGAGATTAACATATACTAATTATCAGCTAACAGCTAACATATACTAATTATCAGGTAACAGCTAACATATACTAATTATCAGCTAACAGCTTTTATTACATGCCAATAGCGTAATTTTACTGAATGTAATAAAAAAGAAAAATGCACACAATTCAAAATGTTTCAAAATCGTTCAAAATGTTTCAAAAATACAACTACTATAAATTAAGATTTTGAAGCACATTTTTTTTTCAATTCAAAATAAGTTTTAAAATTCCATTTTTTTAAAATTCAAATTGTGGATGTATCATTTTTAAAACATTACAGTTGCGTTTTAGAATCATGTGAATGTGATTAGAATTGTGTAAATGTGCACATAAATCATTAATAATGCTTAACCTTTTGTTTGACAGAGTTAAAATAAACTTTTATTTAAAGTTAAACTTTAATGATGTAAAATATTATTTATAAATAGATTTTTTAAATATAATCATTTCATTATTTAGGTTTTTTATGATTGTGTTGGATTTTTGGAAAAAAATCGCGATACATTTAGAGATGATCTTTTGCGAACAATAAAAGAAAGCAGGTAAAAGTAACTTCAGATAAAATATTGTTTATGGTAAAAGTTAATAGCTTTTCAGTTTGTAACCATAAGCCATGACTTAAGATAAAATCTAGATAAGAAAAGTAATCTTAGTTTAATGACCACTACCTAATTTATATTTTTATGCCCTTGGTTGACCTACGAAAATAGGTACATTTGCAAGGACCTTCATCAACAGGTTTATGTTAGGGCATGATTTCAGTAAAAAGAATTACATTTTTTATTAAGTATTTTTTTTCTTTAAAAAAATTTGATATTGTATATATTTTAGCAAATTCACTTGCAACAAGCAACAATATTATCTATTAATAAGAAAGTAATAAAGATAGGGTTGTTACCCAAAAATTCAAACTCAAAAACCCACCCAAAAACCCAAGAGCAAAAACACACCAAAACCCCAACTTAATGGGTTTTTGGTCTCAAATTTTTTTATTTGTAATTTTTCATACATAAACTAGTTTCCATTAACACTCAAAATTTTATGCTGCTCAACAATTTTTCTAATGATAATAAAATAAGGAGTTAGGTTAGTCATAAATGAAAATTTTATTTTACTTAGAGCAGTAATATTTATACTTAAAAAATTCAAACTAAGTCATCTAACAATTTAGTCATCAGCAATCGTGCATTTTAAATGTTTGTAAATTTGTTTCAGCTTTTAGTTATAATTAAAATATAATTAAATTGTATATATATATATATATATGTATATATATATATATATATATATATATATATATATATATATATATATATATATATATATATATATATATATATATATATATATATATATATATATATATATATATATATATATATATATATATATATATATATATATATATATATATATAAATTAGTAGAAAATCACTTAACAAAATTTTTTTGTTATGTCAAAATATATGTCGCTCTTTTTTTGTTATGTCAAAATATATGTCGCTATATGTCGCTCCACTATGTCGCTTTTCAAATAATATATAATAAATGATAAAAATTGAAAAGCAAATATGAAAGTATATTATTTTTTTAATACATAAAGTTGAAAATAATTTAGTTAATTGATTTTTAATAATTTATGGAAATCCTTTAGATCTGATTTTATTTATGACTTGTTTGACAAATGGAAAAGTGAAGATTTAAGTAGTAATACAAAAAATGCATTAAATAAGAAACCACGCAAGCCTACAGTCAGCTCACAATTTAAAGTAAGAAGTTTGGTAGTTAAATTAATTGATGTAATGTTACTAGTTTTAATAATTTTTAATTTTAAATAATAAAAAAAAAATGTTGCATATTTAAAATTACTCTCACTAACTAATTTAGCTTGAACAATGTTTATCATACATGTATTTTGAAATTTCTAGGTTCAAAATTTTGGGTCCTATTTTTTCAGGGTTGTATAACCAGGGGACATTTTAACCAGAAATTTTCACTGACCATATATAAATATTTTTACTGTCATATTATCAGGGGAGTCTACTGCTTTTTACTCAAGAGGCAGCTGCTTCATAAAAATCAAAGCAGGGTGGGAAATTGAAATTAAAACTCTTGAAACAAATATGCAATTGGTTTAAATGCTAAATTAATCTACATAAAAAAAAAGTTCACTTGAATCAAACACATCAATCATAAAAAAATCAAATATCAGTCAATGTTGAAAATAAATCATAAAAAAGTCAAATCTCAATGTTTTTTACTCGGTTTCTATAAAAAGTTGAAAACAAATTGCTAAAACTATACTTTTAATTGTTAAGAAAATAACTGCGTGCAAGTTTAGAATGTTTTAAAATGTTTTTATGGGCGTTTTATGAGCTAGATATTTAAATCTTTTGTTAAGTAATAAATTATGTTAATTATGTAAAATAATTTGATAAAATTGCAAATCTATTTTATAAAATAACTTACATTCTATATTTATTATAGTTATTTGCCTTCAGTAATGACAAGAATATTTGCGAATTTTTATTATTTAACTTGTTATATATAAGTACAAACTTGCAAATTTAAATTGTTATAATTTTGTTTAACTATTTTAAAAATTAATATGGAAAAAAGAAAGCGACGTTCTGGTTATATATTGCAGGAAAAAAAGAAAGAGAAGCAAATTATAAACATTTAGAATATGTTTTTTATTATTTTCAAGTGCATTTTTTGTTCTAAATTAGGCTTTTTATTTATTTTGTTCTGCTTTTTATTAATTTATTTAAAATACAAAACTCTGAAAACTCTGCATCATGATCTGTCATGCATATCAGCATTCTTTGGTATAGAACAGGGTTCAGCAATCCCGACTCAAAAAAAGGTTTTTTGATTTCTTCTCCTTCTAATTATTAATTTTTTTTACAAAATAAAAATTTTAGTAAATTTTTTATAGGGGGAAAATTTATTTTAAGAGGGGAAGAAATATTTTATCCCACCGGAATGTTAATTCGAAAATATACTTTACAGGGGAATGTGTATTGAATGCATGTTTTCTTATAATACAATATCTTATTAAACAGTATACAGTAACAGTACATTTACTATCGGACCTAAAAAAATAAATGAATTATAAATTTTGAGTTGTAAGTTTTGAAAATAATGCCGAGAGAAAAAATGCAATACACGTACCAATGTCAGGAGATTATGTGTAATCCCTTTGTTTGTTCTGATAAATGGAAAGGTCACTGCAAAAAGAAATATGCATACAAGAAGTTAGTAATAATTAATATTTTAATATATTCCATACAATATATTAAAGGGATCCCAAACTCCCAACACATGTTGTGTTCATACTAAAGATAATGTTAAAAAAAAATTTTTGGACCGAGTTTTTTTGATTAAAAATAAATAATGAATGCATACTGAGAAAAACTAACGTTGTTGTTTTAGCCAAAGCTCGCCTTCTCCATTTTTTAATGACTTGGAGTCTTTAAATTATACGTAGCAACATACAGACTTTGGCAATTCCTTTGAAGTGCGTTTAATTCATAAAAGTTTTAGTATTTGACGTCACGATAGACTTTTAACAAATGAAACTCTGGATATATTTTTATTTATTTTTATTCAAAATTTGATTATTTGTTAAGTTTTTTTTTTTTTTTTCTGTTTTTAACATTTAAAAAGATAATAAAAACCTCAAATATTTTATGCTAGTTCGTTACTATAAATTGTTATTGCGTCGTATATTTAATGTTTATAAATTATGAATATTTATTATCTCAATCAAGGCTCTGATAAAAAATTGTTTTACATAAATTACCCGTATAAAATTAGTAACAGCATTTTTATTTGGTTAGACAATATTTTGTCTCAATTTGCTTTGCATGAAGTTCGGGAAGTCAAATGAAAAAAATTAGTTTGAATAATCAGTTTGAAATAAATTTAAAACAAATTATTTTAATGACAGGGGTTTGAAAGTTTTTTATAACAAATGTAGGTAAAAAATAAATAACTAAATAAAAAGTTCAACATTAAACATCATTTCTTTATTATATTGCTACTGTAAATATTGAAATATTAATTTGAACTAAATTTACTTATTATTTAGAACGACTAAGCAATAAAAATAAAAAACCCCTAAAATTATGCGATATTGTGTTGTTTACTTGATAATTGTTGTTGGTAATGTTGTTTATGTTTGTTATATTCGTTAATATTAAAATAGTCCCAGATTAATCTGTTAGTTGCTTTGTTCATTGTTACTTTATTTCTAATTTGATTTTATCTTAAAGTATAAATTTATGTAAAGAAAGAAAAGTTATTATTTCATCGCTCGCTCTTTTTATAAAAGAGTAGAACAAAAGAGAAAGAAAAGTGTAATTAAACTTTGAATAAGAGTTGTATAGAATTTTTTTTTTTTTTGCGTCTTGATTTTTTTTGCGTCGTCAAATTTTATTTTTTTTAGATGAGAGAAATAAAAGTTTGATAGTAATTTTTCTTTGAATAAATGAAAATTGGAAGAGAAAATTTGCTTGTAAATTTGTATTTGTTAATTGTGCTTTGAAAATTTTTTTCAATTTTTCATGTTAAGAGACAAATGCCAAATACAACACAAATTGGGAAGTACCAAATATAATATGTTTTTTAACGCGCGTTTTGACATTTTGACAATTTAAATTACCATTTATCTTGAATTATTGCCATGAATGTGTTAATTATTGTGTTTTATAATAATAATTTGTCCGTATTTTTGTTAAAAATTAGTTGTATAAAAGTGAAAGTATACAAACTTCATGTTTTTTATTTGATGGTTATAAAATATTAAACAGTAAACTTATAATCATAATTTATAATGCCGACTTGTGTTGCTATTAATTGTACTTTTAATGCAAAACCAGGATCTCACATATCTTTTCACGAATTTTCATATCTGATACTACTGTCAACTGTATTGTTTAGTTTATTCTTGTACTTTTTTTCATAACCTTAACAGGTTCTAATTGGTATGGAGTTGCCGACATTTTAAAAGTTTCATTATCAAAAATCAAATGTAAAATAAAATGATATTTCCTTTTTATCCGTATTCAGTTCAGCAAATTTAGCAATTTAAAATAAATCAGCCTAATCAAAAAAATTTTATCATAAAAAAAGTTAACAGTTCATCAAATATCTCAATTAATACTGTCAGTTTATGAAATTAATTGTTAATAAATACTTTTTTTTGACAGAAAAACAAAAAATATCATTGCGTAAAAATAACCAGAGAAGTTAGAAAATAGTTCCCTTTGTTTAAATAAAAATAAGTAAGAATATATAATACTGCGCTCTCTTGCACAAAAGCGAGAGACCGTATACATAACGTTCTAGTTGATATAAAACACTTGTATGAAAATCATAAGATTCTTAAGTAAAGCTTTAATATATGTTTTAATTTAAAAACAAAAGAATTATAAGTTAGATATATAAATCTAAAAATTATTAAGATATCGGTAAAAAAAAAGTTCCTCCTATGAAATAAAAAGCTTTTATTATTTTTGACTTTTACAAAAATTTGTTGTAAAAGTTGTTTTGCTGTATGTTAAAAAATTACTATATCATACTTTTTTAATTAAAGTAGAAAAACGCAGCTTTGTTTATTTACACTTTTCTTTTGTTAAAAATATACTGTGACGTCAAATGCTAAAACTTTTTCGAATTAAACGCGCTTCAAAGGAATCGCCGAAGTCTGTAGATTGCGACGTATAATTTAAAGACTCCAAGTTATTGAAAAATATGTAGAAGGCAAGCTTTGGCTAAAACAACAACATTAGTTTTTCTGAGTATGCATTCATTATTTATTTTTAATCAAAAAAACTTGGTTTAAACCTTTTTTTTTAACATTATCTTTAATATGAACACAATATGTGTTGGGAGTTTGGGATCCCTTTAATGTTAAGATGTATTTATTTCAATAGCTTTTTCAACACTATAAATATATTGTTAGTACTGGGTTAAATGCTAAACAAAGTTCCCCAAGTTAGCAAAGTTAGAATTAGAAATTTGTTTTTTTTTTAATACAAAAACTTGGAAGTCAAATTCAAAGTAATTGGATCTAGTAAAAATGACAGAGAATGGGTTACATATAGAGATGCTGTCAAAAATCCTTTACTTGATGATGTTGTTATTAGTAAACAAGTGTCATAAAATTTAACTGATGTAATTGTGGAATCCATCTTACCCGACCAAATTTTCCATCCTGCAGTTTCAGAATCATCATCTCCAAATTCTATTGAACAAGTTCATTAGTCTGTAATAACAAGATAATGTTTGCAAAACATTTAAAACTAAAATAATCGTTATAGTCCCAATGCCTGCATCTCAGATAGAATCTGAAAATGAAATAGTCAATTCATGTGAAATTGAAAATAGCGTTGAAATAACATCTGTTAAATCTCAGGGCGATATTGATATTGCAATGTTTTTAAATTCTCAAATAACTGAATCTGTTATAAACCAAATATTATTTACAAACCATTTGCCCAAAAAAACATTTGCATTTTCACACAAAGTTGACCAAGCTTGTTCGGAATCCTTGTTTTTAAAAAAGTTACCTGATGGTCAGAAAAAAATCAGAAAATGTCTTAGTTATAGTTTTTCGAAAGATAGTTAGTATTGTGTGGATTGTCTTCTATTTGGTGGACCATCATCATCATTGAATTGGGCCAACAAGGGGAATAAAAAATTTGAACAATCCATCAAGAGATATTGTCATACAATATCTCTTGATGGATTACAACAGGTGAAATATTTGGAAAAATTCTGTGAGAATTTTTTCAATTTGATCAAGTATCAAAGTCGAAATAAATTGGATTATTGGCCAAAGTTACGATGGCGCAAGTAACTGCAGAGGCAAATTAAATGTTCTAAAAACATTAATCCTTGAAAAGGCTCCAAAAGCCATGTATGTTTGGTGCAGTGAACATCGATTAAATCTAGTTCTATTGAATCCATTTTAAGATGTTGTTCCGAAATAACCAATGTTTGAGGAATTATTCAAGAACTGTATGATTTTTTCTCAGGACACAAGCAACATTCTGTTTTTGTTGAAATGCAGCAGAATGCCAGATATATACGAAATCATTGAAAAGAGTTTCTGATACAACCTGAAAATGGAAATAAGCAGAACATTAAAATCGTGCTTGATCGTTATGACTGCATTGTTGATGCTTTGGAATTTTTGTCAACTCAGTCATGACTCAGAGACAACAATTCAGCAAATGGCCTGTTATGTAAAGTAGATGATATAAGCTGTATAATGTGTATGTGTTTTCTGAACTCAATATTTGATGTCACTGGGCCAGTTTCTCATATTTTGCAGGCCAAGGCAGCAATCTCTCAATTCTCTCAATTACAGTTTCACTTATTAATATTTGTATAAAAAACTGACAAATATGAGAAATAATGATGATGATCTCTACTGTGACATTAAAAAATCCGCAATGGAATTTTGTATCTTCTGCAATATTGACACCAACTTCCAACCAAAAAGAAACAGAAAGACAAAACTCATACCAGGGCAGACAGCTGCTGATGAACATATCAATGATCCTAAACAAGCATTTAAAGTGGGGGTTGTAATTCGTGGACATGATGCCATTTTGCAAGAGATGAAAAAAAGATTCAGTGATAGCGATACATCTTTTTTAAAAGAAATGCATTATTTCACAATTAAAAGTTTGTTATCATCTAAAATAATTAGTCCGTCTCAAATTCAAAACATTTTAACTTTTATGATTTTAATGCAAAAGACATTGCAAATTAAAGAAAAGTTTTTTTGCCATTTTTTCAGTTAATGCTTGACTTTGTTAGTATAGAGGATATACATTGTGATAAAAAGAAAAAATGATAGCAACAATAGCCTAAAACCCTATGTACAAACATAAAACCCTATGTACAATACATATATGTACAAACATAAAACCCTATGTACAAACATAAAACCCTATGTACAGCCTAAAACCCTATGTACAAAACATTCTGGAAAACTAAGCAATAACAAGGATTGTGAAAATGATGACAAATGTGATGTTTCTGATGACGATCAAACTTCTAACAAATGGAAGTCGTTGTTTCCTAATTTACTTTTTGTTTCATAAAAACATTATTAACTATAGCAGTAACAAGTTGCAGTGCTGAGCGTTCAATGAGTTGGGTGAAAACTATAAAAAATCGATTACAAAGCACAATGATTGATGATTGGTTTTCATCTCTAACAGTTTTAGCGAGAGAGATAGACATACTGGACTTTGTAATCAAGAGACATTATTGAACGATTTGCTATGTGTTCGACCAAACTGCAAAAGTTGTTAATGACCTAAAGGGAAAAGAATTAAGTTCAAGCTTATCAGCAGTACATAGTATCTGTAACTAAAACTTTGCAAAGAAAAAAAATGTGCAACCTAAAGCTTAATAAAATCTTAAATAAAATTGTTTTAAATAAAAAAAGTTTTTTATGCTTAATTAAAGTAGCGTACCTACTTTAGATACACCCATATTGAAATTTGTGTATTTTAAAATTGCCTTATACAAAGAGACGCCATTTTAAAGCAACTCCTTAAGTTCAAATAAAGCTTAACTGGGTAAACTTAGACATAAGTGATATTTAAGAATATTGGTCACAGTAAAAGCTTTTCTCTAGGGGGAGGGGGAGGTACCTCTAGACCCCACCCTCATATTCCTCTATTATATTCAATATATCCAGCATATCCGGATATTAAAATATATATCTGGCTTGTCTGTATGTGGCCAGATATGTAAAAAATTATATACGGTAGACCTTTATTGTATATGCTCTTTGAACAAAACGCTTCGCTGTACCAAAAAATATTTAACCAAAAACTGGAGTGGGGGGGGGGGTTGCTTCATGAGGCTTGGAGGGGGGGGGATGACACCCCTGCATATTATTATTGTTTTTTACTGACATATAAATAATTTTGCTGTCATGCTATAAATATTTTTCTCTATAAATATATATTTTTTTTTTCTTGGATTTCAATAAAAAAAATTTTAAATTTTTTTATTTATTAGAGATTTTTATTAATTCGTTTTAATGATTTTAATTTTTTAGGATTCTTTGTTTTCTTTAATGTTGAATTTGAATAGTGCAAATCCTTATTTTGTTCGATGCATAAAACCAAACAATGTCAAGGTAATTTCTAATTTAATACCTCACATCTTTTTTTTTTTAATTTTTTTTTTTTTTCTATTAGCCTATTTAGATGCTCACATTTTATTTTTTTTTTAGATGCACACATTAAATATTTTTCTTTTTTTTATTATTTCTTGTTTTGAATTTTTTGAATCTGATTAAAATAAGTATATATATTTTTATAATCTATGTAGTTTTATATATTTGCATATATTTTTAAACATTTTTTAAATTTATTTTTATATATTTAGAAATAATTATATCTAGATATAAATAATTTAAAGTATTGTTAGATATTATTTGATTTAATTAAACACAAACTAACAGCAGATTACAATAGATAATATTTTCATAGCAAATAAATACAAATGCAACAAAAGTATTAGCATTTAATGAAGACACCTGAATAATATATTTAGGTGCGGATTGGCTAAGACTCAACCTTTTTAGGCATAAATTACCTGGGATAGTCAGCAATTTTTCTGCAACTACTCATTAAGGTCATTAAATTTATTGTGTCATCTGTGTTGTAGAAATTTCCAGACTTAACATGTGTTAAGTCTGGAAATTGCACAGTTGCCCTGTGCGTATTGAGTATATGAAGATAACGTTAAATCAAAATAGCTTTTGAAAAAATCAAAAAAATTAGCTTTTAAAAAAATACCTCAAGCTATACCATATTACTCTAGAATGGATGGGTATTATATTATATATATATATATATATATATATATATATATATATATATATATATATATATATATATATATATATATATATATATATATATATATATATGTATATATATATATATATATATATATATATATATATATATATATATATATATATATATATATATATATATATATATATATATATATTATTTTTACTACTTAATTTATAGAGACAAAATTACTTTGTCATGGAGAGGCTGAGAAAAACATTTACCAGTTATAACTAGTAAAAGTATATATTATAATTAAAAAATATTATAATTGAATATTATAATTAAAAATTATTATACTAATTAAAATTATTAAATTTATATTAAATTATTAAACTTATAAAAATTATTATATAAAAATATTATAATTAAAAATAAAGATATTATATTTTTATAACATTTTATAACATCTTTTTAATTTAATATGAAATGTGTTTTTAAGTCAGGGTTGGGTATGATGGTTTGACACCATAGTTTTATGAATGTTTTACTTTTATATATATTTTATTTTTATAAGGCAGAGATAATTATTTTGTACTACATTAGAAAATATGGGTAGTTCCATTTTTAACTTACATTACACAAGCAACAACTTTATCAAATATTTGTCTATTTAAACTTTAAATTAAATTTTTAGCTATTTTCTATGAAAGCTGTTAGTCTAATTAATAAAATAAGCTCAAAATTTTTGAGTCTGGCTAAAAAATCGCAAACTTATTGCTGAAAATGCCACTTTAAAAAAACTGCGTAAACTTTTAAGTCTGATTTCTGTGAATCAATAAAGCGATTTGTATTAGAAACTTTCACAAGATGTTGAGAATTCTATACCAATTTAAAAAATATATAAAAGATTTATCAGTGGTGACCGGCTACAGAAAATAAACTTGTTTTTTTGATACTATATATTTAACTTACGTTACATCACTTACTTTACCAAGCAATTATTATTGTGGATTTTATATATCTATTATTAAGAATTATAGTTACATAACAAAAGAAATGCAAAAGTATTAACTCATTCATTAAAAATAATTAAAAAAGCAAATTTTAAAAAACTGGTGGCACTCTTCCTGAGTAATTTTTTATAGCATTTATGAAAGTTATCAAATCAAAAATAGCTTTTCTGCAAGACCAAGAGCAACTTTAAAAAATTATTTTGTCATTACAACTTTATTAATACTTAATTGAGTCCTTTAAATTGGTTTGTCGAAGTTTTTACTTATGCTTCTTATGTTTATGCATATTGCATTTTGTAAGTAAAAAAAGTCAATCTGAAACTCTACTTTTTTATTTGATGTTTGCACAAGAATTTTTGATTTTTCTAATCAATAACCAAAAGTAAAGAAAAAAAAAGTGATTTGTATTTATGACAAAATTATACTTTTAAGAAAGCCATAAATTGCTCCCGTAAACTACTTTAGGGGAGTGCGTTTGAGAGCGATAAAGCACTCGCTTCCTGTCGAGGCCTCTATATGATATATATGAAACTAATATCTGTTTTTTTCTTTTTAGACAAAAGATTTATTTGATGAAGAAGTAGTTCTTAATCAGTTAAAATATTCTGGTATGTTGGAGACTGTGAAAATACGCAAAGCAGGATTTCCTGTTCGTCGTTTGTATGAAGACTTTATGAGAAGGTTGCTTCTTTTTTCATTTATTTATTTAGTATTCAATTTTTTTATTCAAAAATTTTTTTCTTTGCATCTCTGTGTAACTATTTTTATAAATTCTTTAGGTATCGTGCATTGTTCTACAAAATAAAGTTTAAGATGTTAGTTGATGCAAAAGATAATTGTATTCTTATTTTGACTCAGTTCGACCCATGTCGTGAACTTCATCGTATTGGAAAAACAAAGGTAATTTTATATATTATTACATTAAAACAATTGTAATTAAAAAACTCTACTTTATTAATTTAAAAATATCAAAGAATACAACTATGTGTGTGCATGTGTGTTTCTCCAACAGTAGGTTCATCAGGAACAATCTCTTCCTGATGAACCTACCAATTGAGAAACATATTATTGAAGACAAAAGTTAGATAAGTGTCTTTATATAATTTATACATATATATATATATATATATATATATATATATATATATATATATATATATATATATATATATATATATATATATATATATATATATATATATATATATATATATATATATATATACATATATATATATATATATATATATATATATATATATATATATATATATATATATATATATATATATATATATATATGTATATATAAATATATATATATGCTGTAGTATATATATATACTGTAGTATATATATATATACTATAGTATATATATATATATATATATATATATATATACCTCAATCTTTTAGAGGTTGGCATCAGGTTGACCTGATGCCGATAAGTATCAGACAATAGATATAATAATAACATTATGTTTTTCCACTTTTTGCTTGCATTTCAATTGATCTGCAAACAGCACTGCAATGAAGTCTAAGTCCAATAGCATGGGTAGAGTAACCCTCTTGTGTCAAAACAGAAATTTATGCATGAATTTTGGGAGCCAATTGTTGACCAACCATTATTATGGTAATAATAGATTGTTATTACTTCAAGTCTATTATATCAGTTTTATTATCTAAAAATAAAACAAACAATTTATAACAGATAAACAATAATAAAGTAATTAAACAAAATTAATCTGTAAAAATAATTAATCTGTAATCGCTAGATTATGATATATGAATTAAAACACAAAAAATACATTTTTTGGCTAGTCTTCTATCCATTTTGGCCAAGACTGTATATATATATATATACCTGAAAATTTTCTTAACATCGAGGGTTATATATATATATATATATATATATATATATATATATATATATATATATATATATATATATATATATATATATATATATATATATATATATATATATATATATATATACATATATATATATATATATATATATATATATATATATATATATATATATATATATATATATTTATATTGTGATTTAAAATATTCCTTAACAGATCTTTGTGAATCATTTTTTACTTTGAATGTGCATTTAAATGCAGCATTATGTGCATCATAATTTATACCTTCTGTGCAGTGAATGAAACTATCTTGTAATGACTAAAACACTTTCTTCTTCATGTTTAACTGTAGATAACTCATACTTTAGATTAAGTCTGCCTCCTATTGGATGTCTGACATACCTAGTTCTAACTAATAAATAATGTCAGTATTAAATAAGATAAAATTTGATTCATCAGTAAAGCATTTTATACTGTTAGTAACTGTCCAACTAAGATGATTTTTTACAAATTCTATTCTGGCCTTTAATTTTCTTACAGATATCAGCAGTTTCTTGACTAAAGTGTGGCCATATAAATTATTTAGTTGTAAGTGACCTTAAGTTGTATCGATGCTACAGTTTGAGCTGTGAAACTGATGCATAATTGAATTTAATAACAGTCGTGCAAGGTTTATTCTTGAATAAACTTACTAGTAATCTATAACCCTTTTTAGTTGTAACTTTAGGTTTTCTAGAGTAAGGCTTGGCTTTCATTAGTTTTGTGCTGACAAAATCTTTTTGTTATTATGTGGCCAGTTATTCCTGGTTTAGAAACATTTTAAAGTTCAGAAATTTTTTCTGTGAGTCTTTTTTCCTTTAGTTTTTATAATTAATTTCTTTATTTTATTTGAAACTTCCCTAGCTTTTCCCATGCTTTCAAAATATCACTAAGTAACTGAAGTTAATTTTAATAAATTTTAAGTTGATAATATAAATGCATGTACACACTTCACTTTGGCTTGAAAACTTAGTCTAGTCTTTTTATGTGAAAGTTTGCTTTTTCTTAAATATTTACTTTAGATACACTGCATTTTATAACTTTTTTTATAAATTAATATTAAGACTTTTCATAGTAAAAAATCAAAGAACATGATTGCTTATAACTCAATAGCTTTTTTGCTTTTATAAGCAGTGGTTTTCACTATGGTCTATTAATATTTATTTTTTTATAAATTAAAAAAAAATGTTTCACACTAATAAATAAAAATACTTTTTTTTATTTATTACTATTAACTTATACTATTAGCTAAATAATGTTTATACAAACCATATCTTGTAAATATAAACCATGCCAACTAAAACTAATTTATATTTTTTTTAGATATTTTTAAAGGATAAACTTGAATCTGAAATTGAAATCCATCGAACAAAAAATATAAATTATGCTAGTGCACTTATATTAAATCAACTAATTGGATATCAAACTCGTAAAAAATTTCTTAAAATCAAACTTTCAGTCTTGGTCATACAGAAATATTATAAGGTTATTTTTACATTTTTCTTTTTTTTATTTAATTTTTATGTAAAATTTTTGAAAATATAAAAAAAAATATTTGTTTTTTAAATGAATTTATTTTTTTTCTTCTCTTATTTTGAACTCATATTTTTTTCAATTTTCATTTTGCTTGATTGATATAATGATATATATTTTTTTAGGCTCATTACTATCACAAAAAGTTTGTAAATATTAAGAAGGCTGCTCTTGTGATTCAAAAAGTAATTTTTTTTAATGATTACTTTTATTTTTATATATTTAGTGTATATATATATATATATATATATATATATATATATATATATATATATATATATATATATATATATATATATATATATATATATATATTTATTTATATATATATATATATATATATATATATATATATCATTTTTTTTTTAATTGTAAAAGTTATTTTTTTGTATTCAATTTTTAGTTCGAACGAGGTCGACAAGCTCGAAAACTATATGTAAACATGTTAGAACAAAAACGTATTGAAGAAGAAAGAATACGTGAATTGGAAAGACTCAGAGAAGAAGAGCATTTAAGGTAGAGTTTATTTTTTTATATTTTTATAAAGTTTAAGTATTTTGCTCTAAAAAGACTTTAAAACATGGAAAACTAAAGTAAGAATTTTTTAAATAGTAAAAGGTTTATTATAAAATTAAAATTGGTTTTTGTTTTATAAAATTATTTTATATTTTTTATCAATTTTATGAGATGTAATAATATATAAGATAGTAAGTTTTTCAATGTGTTTTTTGATGGAATTTCAATTTAGTTAAACATTGAATGAACTTAAATTCATTTAATCGTATGCTTTTAACAATTTGTTATTAACAATTGATAAAGCTAGCCCTAAAAATGATTACTTTGCATTATTTATGTCGAACAGGAGCTAATGGAGTTAATCAAGCTAATGGAGTTGGAGGGAGCTAATGGAGTTAGTCAGGAGCTAATGGAGTTAGTCAGGAGCTAATGGAGTTAGTCAGGAGCTAATAGTCAGTGGAGTTAGCAGGAGCTAATGGAGTTAGTCAAACTAATGGAGTTGGAGGAAACTATATAACTATTTGATAGCAATCAATGGTAAAGTTTGAAGTTTGGTTTCAATAGATCTGTAGTGGTATACAAGGTGCTTTTAATATTGTTTTGAATGCAGTAAATGTACTTTTAGGTAAGTAAAAATAGAGAAAAGTAAAGTCAACAAAAAAAAATTGAAATAAAAACTGATGAAAAGATAGTGTGTTAGTAAGTAATCTTAGAGATGCAATCTGATTAGCTTATTATCAGCATCAAGAACAATAGTAAGGGCTGAGCCAGATTCAGAGAATTATTTACACTTCTAAAAACAAGAAATTTGTCAGAAAAAATTAAAGGAAAGTCATACTCTACCTGTATCTGAGTTTCATGATCTACATCAGTAAAACATATATGATAAAAGTTGTGAGGTCCAGCATCTAAAAAAATAGAGATGATGGTCATGCTGATGTGCAATGCGACTGAAAAAAAAAAAACCTTTACAGAAAGAGATTGTGAATAGTGGATGCATCTGATAGGTTACATCAAGAAGGATTTAAATAGTTAAGGCATATAGCATGTAGAAATGAATATAATTAGGTATCAGCTTGTATGTAGTAAAAGTCTCAAAAAAAAAAGTAGATATATAAGTTTAAAGTTTACTTTAGAAGTAGGAATAGTGATGACCTTTATAAAAACAAATTGTGAATAGTGAGTGTATCTGATAGATTTCATCTAAAAAGATTTAAGTATTTAAGGCATATACAAGGTGACCTAAGACCTTATATCATATTCCATTAAATTTTTCTTTTGATTTTAAAAGTGGTCCATGTGCACATTCTAAAACTATCAAAAATTAAATCTTTTTTTGGTAGCTTTTCGAGAAAACTAATTTATAAGACTTGTTTTAACTAGAGATTAATGCCCTTCTGACTCACTCTAAGACCCCTGAGAGTGGATCAAAAAGTTGTAAACAATATGTTTGATTGTTTAACCTATTAGATTGATTTTTTGAGGATCATTTTTAGAAATAAGTTCTGATTTGGGCTTTCTAGTCAGAACATCGCCTAATTTATCACTTTGTAAAATTAAGTTATCTTTTTTTATCAATAGAGGGTAATACCGCCAAAACTAAAGTTTTGTGAACACTAGTGTACTTAAAATTTTTACATCCATACTCATCAAAATAGTTCACCTTTTTTTTTTACTTGATTGTGCTTCTAGCTCTCGCTTTAATGTAATTGATAAGGTAACCTTTAGATAGCCTAGCCCTCCATCTAACTCAATCTTAACATCAACATTTTCTTGTTCAAAATATCTATGTTGTAAAACTGTTACAACAAATGTTATGACCTTTAGCAAAGAATGGCATTTTTTTTTTCTACTCTTGAGAAATAGGTCTCGTATTTTTCAATCGGCTCTTAAACTTAAGTTGAAATAAGTTTTTTACTTAATTAATTAAATAATATGCTGTTATTGCTTAAATGTGTTTATAAATATCATTAAAGTCTTTTAAAACAACAACAACTATAAGCCAATCAGAAACTAATAAATATTATTAAAGCCAATCGCGTTGCTGCAATTACAGAAAGTAAACAACTATAATGGCTGACGGCCAAAAATATTATTTTAATACAAAAGCATCGTTATTTATAAAACTTGCTATTAAGTTTTCTCAAAAAGTTACCAACAAATGATTTAAATTTTGATAGTTTCAGAATGTACAAATGTATTACATTCAAAATCAAAAAAAAAATTTCATGGGACTTGATACAAGGTTTTAGGTTACCTTCAGGGTACCTGTGTATATGTAATAATGAAAATAATTAAGTATCAGCTTGTAGGAAGTTAACACTCTCAGAAGAAAAAGGTTGGGGTAGAAGTAGGAAAGCTTAGAGAGTGCATTACAAATGACATAAAAAACTTTTGTTAAGGAAAGAAGGTGCCCAAGATCATGCGTATATGAGAAACTGCTTCATGAGAAATGTGAAAGTGCAAGTATGAAAACAAAGCTAAAATAATGATAATGAGTCTACTTATATATTAAATTTAAGCAAACATAAAAACAAGGTTGTTAAAATGATGAAGATTTTTTGTCAAGTTTGAGATCCAATTGCCAGCTATGAAATGAACTAATCGCTGCCATCTTATTGTCAATCAAACATCTATACATAAAAACAAAACCTCAAGCTCCTTAGTTATACATACATAGTTGTTTAATTTGTAAAAAATATAAAAATTGTTTCCAGTTTCAAGTTGAAATGTTGAAAACACAAAATAACCACAAAACAAAATAAGTGAGTAGTTTTCAATATCATACTAAGCAATTTTTTATGTTTTAAAAATTTTAAACAACAACATGCCTTTTAACTTTTAATATCTTAATAAAATTTATTGCCATAATTTAGCAGTAAGTAAAAAATTGGTATAATGAACAGTTAGTTATCAAAACATTTTTGTTACAAGTTGGATTGCATAATTTATTTCTGTTAACATGTTGCATCTTATTCAATTTCTACAAAAAGTCATGACTCATTCTGAACTTTTATGAATCTGCAGTAGCAATTTGGTAGATGTGAATCTGCAGTGGTAAGTTAGTGGATGTTAATCTGCAGAATAAATAGTGATAGGTGTGAATCTGCAGTAGCAAGGTGGTGGATGCGAATCTGTAGTAGCAGTATGATGAATATGAAACTAAATCTAATTAATAGCATTGGGTTAAAAGTAAATTTTGTTCTTCAATCTCATTAAGTATAAGTGTTAAAACTAATTCTGTGTATGCAATCCACTACATTGATTAGTCATAAATAAAAATTTAAAAGTAAGGTATTAATCCTACTATGTTTTAGTAATTAATAACTTTTTTATTAACACATTGTTTTTTTTTTACTGTTTTTAATTGTTTTAATTGTATTTTGTTTTTTTCAATAAAAAAAAAAAAAAATTTAATTATTTTCAGATTTTTTAAAAATTTTTAAGTGTTGTATATTTTATAACACCTTTGTACAAATATTTTTATAACACCTTTTTTTATTTAATTTGCAGTTGTTTTTTTTAATTTCTTTTTTATTTATATGACATTCTGCAGTTGTTTTTAATATTTTTTTTGTGTGTCTTAATATATATATATATATATACATATATATATATATATAAAGAAAAATATATAAGCATGTATATAAAGAAAAATATATAAGCATGTATATAAAGAAAAATATATATTTTTTTCTTTATATATATATATGAACATATATATATATGAACATATATATATATATATATATATATATATATATATATATATATATATATATATATATATATATATATACATACATATACATATATATATATTTAATATATACATATATATATACATATATATATATATATATATATATATATATATATATATATATATATATATATATATATAAAGAAATTATTTTTATATATACTTATATATATAAAGAAAATATATATATATATATATATAACTTTTCTTTTTAGAGAGATGGAGAAATTAGAACAAGAAAGAAAATTACATGAACTTGCTGAAATGAAAGTAAAGGTATAAAGCCTAATACATAAAAAAAATAAAAATAAGAAAGTTATTGCTGCATCAAAGAAAACACAAAAATGAAACTAAATAATGAATTAAAATAAAAAGTTTTTTTTTTTAAACTTCTTTTAATAACATTTTGTCAGCTGAAAACCAAGAGGCCATATGTCCATTTTTTTTGTGTTTTCGAGAAAACCATAATTTAAATATTTAATTTGTAAGAATTTCTGCCAGAATACCCTACAATTTTTGAAAATATTTTTTTGAATATTTATTGATAATAAATACAAAAAACACAAAATGTGGACATACAGCCTCTTGGTCATTGACTGACCATTTGTAAAAAAATTTATAAGCTACCTAACAGCTTCAAACTTTATTTTGTTTTTAAATAGCAAGTTCACTATTTTAGAGAGAAGAAGAGGAAAGAATTCGCATGGAACAAGAAGAAGAAAAACGAATCAAAGATGAGCAGCAGCGACAAGCTGAGTTAGCCAAGCTCAAAGTATTAGAGGAAAATAGAAGAGCACTTGAAGAACAAAAAAGACAAGAGGAGGAAGCAAGAATAAGAGTATTTTATTAAGTTTCATTCTTCGTACTTCATAAATAAAATTTAAGATTTTTATTTTTATACTTTTTTATATAGGAAGAAAGCAAAAAGCGTCTTGAACAAGAAGAAGCTAAGAAGTATTTAAATTATTTTTTTTAAATTTTTTATGTATTATTATATTATATATTATCATATTATAATTTTTTATATATTACCATTTTTTATTAATATTAAAATCCTAAAATTTTATGAACTACATTTTTAATACAGCAGAACCTTAATAAAACAACAAAAAAAAAAGCTATTTAGTGTTTTGATTAGTTATTATTTATATCTTTACTTTTCTTTTTTTTTTATTTATATTTTACTATTTCAGAAAAAGTGTGAAAAATTAATGTTTAAGCTTTTCTTTTGGATAGTAAATTACAGAACATGTAACTAAGCTTTTATCAGACCCTTAGAGTAAAGAAATTTAAACAATTACAAATTGTTACCTAATAAAATAAACACATAAAGCTATAGACTTGTTGCTCAGAATAATTAATTATTTAGAGCTATATAATTAAATTGAATTTTCTATAAATTATCATAATTAATTTTTTTAGGCTTAAAGAAGAAACAGAAGCTCAGGAGCTACAAAATGAACTGGAGAGACAAGACAGAAAAGCTACTGAAGATGCCCTTCGAGAAATGGCAGAGCTTGATGCTCAACTACAGGTTTCTTTTTTGTTGTTGTTGTTGACTTTATTGACTTGAATCTTGTTTATTATAAAAAATTTAATTATATAGGATTGTGAAATTTGTAACTTTTTGCAACTTCTCCTTTGTGCTTATGCAATCTCTTTATGTGCTTACATAACCTTTTCTATATATAGATAGAAGAAGCTCTTGATGAAGAAGAGGACATTGATGATGATACTGTTGCGCGTATGATAAATTTTAATGAAGATGCCTCTGTTGTTGATTTGGTAACATATGAAGGATACCTTTCACTTAAAGGTTAGCTTTTTATTTTATTTTCAATGTTATACTTTTTAATAAAATTTTCTATCAGCTTTTTGTTTAAAAAAAGGTTATTTAAATTTTTGCATTTCAATTTTATGATAAAATGTTCTATGGCCTTGATTACAATATAAATTTTTTAAATTTATTCATACTTAATTAAAAATAATGAATAATAAAAATAAATTTTTCTACAAATTATGTAGACATGGCAGCCAAAGATTTACAGTTTTATTTATTTTGAAATCCTAAATAAAAAATAGCCTAAGTCTCATTAATTTAAACATTTTAAACTGTTTTTAATGTTAAATTTTAATTATGTTATGTTTAATGATTTGTTTTTTATCTAATAACATGACTTTGTTTTATATTTCATGTTTATTTTCATTTTGCTTTATTTTGTTTTTACCATTTTGTATGGAAGCATAGAACTTGCTGTGTAAAGCACTTGTTTTTTAGCATCAGAACCAAAAAATATATTTCTTTGATTTGTATGTTGAACCATTATAACATTATAAATAAGTTTATCAAGTAGTGTGGTATTACAGGAGCATGCAAGAAGTATGGTACCTAAAAGATAAACCTTTTTTTTTTTATCATATGGAAATAGTTCCCTGCAACTTTGCTTTGCATGATGGACATAAATCCTATGGAACTAGTTTTGATTTAAAACAGTAATATAGATCAAATCCAATTAAATAAAAATAGGATCTTGATTTCTGCAGTTATTTATTCAGGTAGTCCATTCCATGTCGTTCTGTAGCATATGCAGAAAAGCATCACAATGTGTTTAATTTCTTTTTATTCTTATAAGTGCCACTTATAAATAATGAAAAATTATACTGTTTGCGCTCAAAATAATACTTTTCATTACTATATATATATACAGGTTTAGCATCAGCTTAACTCTGTCTATATAATTTTATATGTCTATTTTATTTTTAAGTGTATATGTATGTATACCCACTGGTGACATTACACAGAAATAGGTAACTGCAAGGGCTTATGTACATACATCAACTGACTAAATATGGAGAACATGCCAAGAGTGCCATTACATCGACTAATGGTTTAGGTTGGGACAGCAATTATTTTTTCATTAATCTTTAAGTGTAAAAGTATCACACTCACATAAGTTTAATAATTCAAGTTTACTTTTTCTTTATGCTTGCTTTTTTTTTTAAGTATTGTAAATGTAAATGTGTAAATATTTTGTTTAATTTTTTTATTGATATTTCTTGCATATCAATGAATTATTTTTAATGTATATTAGAATATATGCTATTATGTATGTTAATGTATTAATAAGGTATTTATTTTTTTAATGATACTTATTTTTCTTTTTTAACTTTTCGTTAGTGTTACAAAAAAATCTTAATTAAAAAAAAAAAATTTTTTTTTTTTTAAGCTTCCTTTCTAACTTTTTATTTAAATATTTTTTTGAAATTTTAATTTTCAATATTTTTAGGGGGAATCATTGCTAATGCTAAAAAACATTGGTGCGTTCTTAAAGATGATACTTTGATGTGGTTTCGTGGAAAACAGGTTGATTTCCAAATTTCCTATTTTAAATTTTTCATTTTTCCTATTTTAAATAATAAATATATTAATAGTAAGATAACTTTTTCACAATTTGAATTAAACTTTAAAGTAACTAAAAAGAAAAAAGGTAAAATTCAATAAATCTTTTCTTTTTTTAGAAAGCTTTAAAAAGTGGTTGGTTGCTAAAGAAAGGAGGTGGAAGTGGTACTTTATCTCGGTAAGAAAAAGCAACTTATGCTGAAATGCGCAGCTTACTAATTAGTAAAACATAGATTGCATCTTAAAAAAATTTAAAAGGTTTTGAAATAAAATTTTAACTTAAGTTAGAAATAAAAATATTAAAATAAAAATATTAATAGTATTTTTATTAATTTGTTTAATCATAAAAATTTTATCCAAGCTGAAAAAAAGGTAAAAGCAACTGCTGATTAATTTGGAGACCAGTGTTTGTGTTGTTTTTGGAGGCAAAATATATATAATAATTATATATATATATATAATAAATATATATATATATATATATATATATATATATATATATATATATATATATATATATATATATATATATATATATATATATATATATAATAAATATATATATAATAATTATACATATATAATAATTATATATATATAATAATTATATATATATATATATATATATATATATATATATATACATAAAATATATATATATCAAACTATTACAATTGTCTTATCTTAGCACAATGCAATGGGGAAATGATATTGTTAAAAATAAAAAATTTGTTGTTTGAAATGTATTTATCTTGTCAACATTGTTTTAAGAACTTTTTGGGGAATTTCAATCAAAGGTTCCAACTGTTCTATTGGCTCAAACTTTTTAAGTCTTTTTAAGTCATCAACTTTAATAGATAGAGCTTTACTAATAGGGTCAGTAAAGCCATTCTTTGAATTTGTTAGACCATCCACTTCAACAATTATATGCCGCATGGGTAATTTATTACAATGCAGCATACAAATAGACAAGAATAATTTCCTGCCAACCAATTGTTCCAGATTTGATAGCAAACCTCCACCTTTTGCTTGACCTGTTATGGAGATTGTAGAATTCCTTCCTACAACTTTTAAGGACTCATAGATTCCCCTTGGAACCATTCAATTGTAAAGAGCAAATGCTGCTTCTTTCGTTGGTATGCTTGGTAGTTTGGTTGGTATGCTTGGTAGTATGGCTTTAGCAGGATTGTAATGAGTTAAGGTATCTTCCATCAGGCTCACAGGTCATAGCCTAGGTCATTTTTTTTTACAGGTCATAGCTATATTTTCTTCCTCATGTGAAATTTATTTGTTAAAAAGTAACCATTCAATTGTAAAGACTGGAACCATTGGCTGTTATGCTTGGTAGTATGGCTTTAGCGGGATTGTAATGAGTTAAGGTATCTTCCAAATGGCTCACAGGTCATAGCTATATTTTCTTTCTCATGTGAAATTTTCTTCATTATTTTCGTTATTATTTGTTAAAAGTTTCAACACTAAAGTTGATTCCTTTCTTCTTTTCACTTTTTCTCTTTTTTCATCTCTTTCCACTTTTTCTCTCTTTCCACCTTTCCACCTCTTTCCACCTCTTTTCTATCTTTCCACCTCTCTTTCCACCTTTCATCCTTTAATAGGTTCTTTGGCAATTATATTTTCTTTAGACATTACTCTTTCCATTAATGCTTTTCTTACTTTCATAGAATCATTTGCTAAATAAAACATGTGTCAATAATGTGTAAATAAAACATGTGTAAATAAAACATGTCTAAATAAAATAGGTATTAAATATTTAAGGTTTTATCTAAGTCTAAATAAGGTTTAAAAAAAGGATGTAACCACAGCTGACATTGCTGCTATCATATGTTATTAAAATGTCTGCAATTTTATTAATTGACGTTATTGTTTTGAAGTGGATTTTTCTAAATCTTTTTCTTATTGAAATCTAAATCATCATTTTCTAACTGTTTTTTTGTTTGTTTTTTTTTCGTTTCTAAATTCTTCTCTTCTCCAGACTTACTCTTTATTTTTTTTTCCTTTTGCAAAATTCACCTGACAGATATTTAAAATCTAGCAAAATTGTCCTTTTAGTAAAAAAAAAAATCAAATCTCAATAACTAAGAAGGGCAAATTTGTTATTCCACCTCAATTGCATGATTCAAATTTTGTTACCTCACCTAAATACAAAGCTGAATTGTTTACTAAGAACTTTTTATTAATATCATCTCTTGATTCCACTAGTTGCATTCTACCTGGTATAGCAGACAAACAGGTTGATCTATTGGTTGACAATCGTATGATCTATTGGTTGACAATCGTAATTCTGGAGAGCAATCTGACTTGTCTAAATACTGCCCCATTAGTCTTCTTCCTATCATAAGCAAGGCTTTTGACTCTTTAATTAACAAACAAATCTCTCATCTTGAATCTAATAGCTTACTATCTGATCATCATGGATTTCGATCTTCTCATTCTACTGCTGATTTGTTAATAACTGATAGGTTTTATCGTGCATTATGTAGATGTTGAAAAATTGAAGCTATTGCTCTCTACATTTTTATAGCCTTTACTATAGTTTGGCATGCTGGTCTCCTCCAGGTAGCATCTTTTAGATTATTGAGATTATTGTAGTATAAAAGTTGTCCTAAATAGACAATATTTTTCTTCATATCCTGTAGCTTCAGAGGTTCAAAAAGATTCTATCCTTGGCCTTATACTTTTTTTAATTTGCATTAACAATCTACTAGAAGATTGCAATGTTTGCTAATGATACTACCATTTATTATTGTCTTGATAAGAAGCCAACACTCTCTGATTGCTTGGAGATGGCATTTGATCTTGATAAGAATCTCATTTCTGGGACTCACAGTGGCTGGTGAACTTTTCCTATATTTATAAACCGTAATGTACTTGATGAATCACCTACCCATCGTCATCTAAGATTATCTCTTACTTTCGATCTTTCTTGGAAACCATACATCAAATCAACTGCAAAATTAGTATCTGCTAAGGTTGCATCTCTTTATTGTGCTTGTCACTTTTTTACTCAGGATTCTGTTCTTTATCTCTAAAACCTGTCCTTGTATGTACTGTTGCCATATCTAAAATCTAAAACCTGTCCTTGTATGGAATACTGTTGCCATATCTGAAGTGGATCTTCAAATGATTCTCTTATTCTATTAGACAAAGTGCAAAAGCGTGCTATAAAAATAGTTGGACCTGCTCTTGCAACAAACCTTCAACTATTGTCACATTGTCATAATGTTGCTTTTTTTTCTCTTTTCTATAAATGTTATAACAGGCGTTGCTCTAAAGAAATAACATCTCTTGTGCTATCAACTATTATATTTCATTTTCGTGTTACTTGTCATTCAATTCTCATCCTTTTACTGTGAATTTTCTTAAGGTCTTCAAAAATTCTCTTTTGCCAAGTTTTTTTCCTCGAACATCAGTTCTTTAGAATTAGCTCCCTTCATCTTGATTTCCTGATTTATATGATTTTCATTCTTTCAAGTCGTCTGTTAGTTGTTATCTTGCTTTATAAAGTTCATCTTTTCTCTAACACTAAGTTTCAACTCTAATAGTGGTTGGTTGCAGCCTTGATGGAAGTGAAGAAAAAACTTACATTTATACACACCTATAAATATGTGCATATGTGGAAGAATAAGTAGTAGAAGTCAGCTAAAAGTTAACTAAATAAGTTTTAAAGTAAGGGAAAACTAAAAATTATAATTTAAATCAATCAAGATAAAATGAAAATATAAGACAGTGATAATGATGTGTTAGAAATATATTGATTATTTTTACATAGGATAAATTTTTTGATATTGGTAATGAAAGTTTCTTGAAATTTTTCACAACTTATTTTGATCCATCAGATTAAAAATCAAAAATCTTGAAAGTATAATGTACTTTAGTATATATTTACATATTTCAAAATAAAATTTATATATTTAATGCATTTAGTCAATTTTTTAATTTTATTTCATCAATTCAGGCGAAATTGGAAAAAGCGTTGGTTTATCTTGAAAGATACTTTGCTGACATATCATGAAAATGATCAAGAAGGTGCCAAGGTTTTAGGAACAATCGACTTGAGAAGTTGTCGGTATAAATTTTTATTACATATTCTAATGTTTGATGCAATAATGACAACGTTATTAGAGGAGTTTAAGTTATGTTTAATTTATTTATATGTTAAGTGTTAGTTTGTAGTTTATTTTTACATGTGAAGAATTTGTTTGTACAATACATAATGTTTTTTTGTAACTGCAGTTTTTTCTCAATATTTTGCTAATCTAATTTTTTCTGAAATTAGTTTAGCAATTTCTGTAATTTTTTATTGATTTTTCTTAATTTTTCATGTTTACCACCAACTTGAAACTAAATTTTCCATATAATTTTTTTCCATTTTTTAGCCAACTTGAGAATTAAATGTGAATAGCAGGTTTTTGTTTTAAAAGAAATCATTGTCAAATAAAAATAATGAACAGACCTAATGACTTTGTTTTTTAAATATGTAGAACCTAATTGTTGTAAATTAAATAATGGAATAAATATGTAATAAACAATTTTAAGAGCTAGTTGTATAGCTATTGTAAATAGAGCACAGTATCTTGAACAGATGAGTTTGAAGTTTGCTGTATTCAGTAATTAAGTAAAATTGACACTTTTTTTGTTTCTTAAAGTTTGGCTGCTACAAAATTTATACAGAAATCACACAGAAAAATCATATATATTAGTAATTCAATTAAACATTTTTTTTTCAATAAATATTAATTAGTATTTAAAATCAAAACAAAACAGCAACAAGTACATGATGCAGTTTTGCTTACACTTGAAAATAAAACTGAAGAAATTCCAAAAAATAATTGATTCAGTCAGCCATATGTCAATGTGGAAATCACAAAGTTTTGTCATTAACTCTGCACTAAATATTGAAATCTTTTAAAAGGCTTAGAAAAGGGCTCATGCCACTGTGTCCGCAAATTTCCATGATGATAATGCAATATTTTGGTCAGACATTAAAACCAATTCTGCCATTACTACAAATCCACTGTAAACTTTTACAGTGATAATGGCATCGATTTTCAACAACACATGGTCCTGAAAATTCTCCTTAACTTTTTCCAATTGAGCAATATTGGGCAATTAATAAAGTCTAATCATGTAAGAAGTTTGATGAAGCAAGATCAAGCACTGACATTCGGAAAAAGTGGGGGTAAACCACCACAGAGTGCAAAATCTCATGGCTCCGAACATGAAGAAAAATAAATAAAAATTTAATCTTTTTTATCAAATATACTTTTTTCTTTATTATTTTTTGTTCTAGACTTGACAAACTTTCAATAAAAAAATCATTTTTTAACTCAATCCAATCTTTTTTAATATAAGAAATGAAATGTGTCAATTTTACTTATATCATATTATAGTAATAAAGCTATTCATTTTTAAAAATTTAGTATTTTTGCAAATTTTTTTTTAACAGGCAAATTGTGGATAGCAATCAAAAGGAAAATGCCTTCAGTCTTGTGATGCCGTCAAGAACATATCATTTTGTTTCTGAAAATCCTCAAGAATGGGAGTAAGCTTTTGAGTCTAAAAAGTACAACACAGTTAATATACTTGAAGTTTATGAATTCAACTTGCTTTTTAGTGATTGGTTTGGAATTTTAAATCGAGTACATAGAGCAAATGACTCAGAGTTGCGGCTAATAAAAGAAGAAAGTGCAAATGTGAAAAATGCAGTAGTATGTTATGTTTTTTTAAATTAGCAATTCATTAAGTCAATGCTAAAGCTGTATACAATTGATTATTGTTTGTTTGTTGTATTACTGTACACAATTGCTTATTGCAATTAAGTTGTATACAATTGATTATTTTTTGTTTGTTGTATTACTGTTCACAATTGCTTATTGCAATTAAGTTGTATACAATTGATTATTTTTTGTTTGTTGTATTACTGTACACAATTGCTTATTGCAATTAAGCTGTATACAATTGATTATTGTTTGTTTGATTACAATTGAATTACAATTGAAAGAAATTACAATTACAATTAAAAGAAAGATGAAAGTATTAAGTGCATTTCATCTCTATAACAATAAAATGTATTATATTTTTAAATAAATAAAGTTGTATTAAATGTTTAATTATAAGTTATAGTTTTAAATTTAAATGAATAAGTTATTTGGTTCAAATATAATTGTTGTAAAATATTTTATTTTAAAATTTTTTTTGTAAATAAATTTATCTAGGGTACTATCGAAACAATAATTATCGAAAGTATTTCTGTAGACCTCATTGAAGAAAAGTAAGGCTTTTTATAATAAAATTGTTCCAAATGTATTTTTAATCAAATTGGTATTTGTATTGCAAATATAAAATGCTTTTACACTTTCTGCATTTGTACTTATTTTATCAATAGTCTTTTAGGAATTATTTAAAGTTAACACTTTTCTGTTTCCTTCTTGTTGCTTATGATTTTTATTTTCAGTTTTTTATTAGGGATTTCAGAATAATAATTAATGGTTTATATAAATAATTTTTCCTAAAATATTTAAAAAATATCTATCAAAAATATTCATAGGTCCCAAGGGTTTAGCATTATTACAGCAAATCGAGTTTATTCATTTGTAGCAGAAAAATCAGAGGAGGTTGAGAACTGGGTAAAAGGTAACTTTATAATATAGGTTATTAAGTTTTAAACCTTTTTTTCTTAAAAATACTTTGTTTATTTTAAGTTTTATATTTTAGCTTGCATTTCTTGTTTGTATTGTTTATTACTACTTTAGTTTTGGAAAAAAGCAAAGAAAAGCAATTAGAGGAAGGGACAAGTGTTGCTATAGAAAAAGGTTTTGAAATTTTATAAAACAATAACATAAAATGAATTTAATAATTATATAAAATTCAATGTCTTATTTTTCTTATGATAAAAGGATGGCTGTTAAAGTTGGCACTAAAAGAACAAGCTCGTGATAAAAGAAGGTTGATTATTTATTGCTTTTGTTATTTTCAACTTTTTTATTTTTTATTTACTTTGTTTCTTTAATTAAGTATATAATAAAACCAATATGTTTTATATAGATGGTTTGTGCTTAATAATAATTCTTTGGATTATTTCAAGTCTCCAGAGAATAACTCATCAAGACTTGGCTCTATACTACTTAACAGGTTAGCTGAAGTATAGTTTAGCTGTTTTTAATTGAAAAACTCTAATCTTATCTAATAAATAAAATAATAAATTATAGCAACTCTAATAATTATAAATAAACCAATTTTTTTTTTTACAGTTTATGCACAGTAATCCCTCCTCCGCCACCTGATGATATAAAAAGCAAAGAAACAGGTATTTGTCTCAACTTTTTAGAGTGCTCAAGTATTAAAAAAAAATGAGAGAGTGCGATAGATTTTGAATCAATTTTCTCCTTTGCCTCTCTTTAGTGCTGGGTTTTTTTTAATATATAAGTTGATAGATACTATTACTAAATTAAATTTTAGTTGATGACTGAAGATGATAAATTGGCCATTTTTAGATAAATCATAAACAAAATGATAAACAAAGGTATTGGAATGTTCAAAATATGTTTTTTATGAACAAATTTAAATCATTAAAGTTAACTACCATTGGTTTTAAAAATTGTGGATATTATAAAACAAATATGGTCGAATTGTACTATATAGTGTACACATTGATTACTAGAAAATATTTTTATTCAAATAACAGAACGAACATAAAAGAGTAAGTAAGTCACAGTATAAAATGTATTTTATAATTTCTATTCAGGCTCCTTAAAATTTTAGAATTTTTAGTAATGTTTAGCCATAGTCATAAAAAGAATAGTCTGGAAATGCAGGCTGTTTTTAATAGTTTTCATTGTTTAAGTTGAAAATTGGGTTGTCTGTGTGAATAAGATGCAAAACAAACTTTTATGATGACTGAAAGTTCTGAAGATTTGAATAATTTTGAGCCCATTTTTGAGTTGCATCAAGATGAGCTTAATTCTATTTTTGCAGTTAATGACCATGATTTATTAAATGATGTTGCTGAAAAACATTATGCTTCAGATATACCACAAATAACACTTTCTTGTCAATTTTGTAACAAAAAATGTTTGAACTCTATAGGTCTCACTCATCATGTAAATAGTAAACATTCCTAGGCTTTATCAAGTCATTCTAATGTTTTGAAAAATATTAGAAAAATTAATATATCAAAAGAAATGCTTGATCTTGAAGACTTTCAAATATATTTAAAAAGAAGTGTTGCAAAGCTTTCATCAGATAATTATTTTGAGTCCATACAAAATCATTTTAAAGCTTATGTGATTAATTTCGATATAGCTAACACAGCATACCAAATTATAAAATCGTTTATATCTTTATTTTAAGGAAATGCCAAAAATTTTTATCCAGGTTTTTACAAATGTATCTTTGACAATATTGATTCAGTTTTTATAGGATGTAACCATATATATTGTCACATCTTTCTGGGTTATCAATTCAGAGCGATACTATTTCATCTGGGAAGGGTTGTATACTTTCCAATAGGGATCAATCTGTTATTGCCTATTTATGTGGGTATATTTTTAACACATTATATCGTTGCATTAAGTTTTCAGATATTTATAAGAAATAATACTATCAAGTATATATATATATATTTATTTTACTTACTGCTCAATATCAAGGAAGCGATGATTTGCCTGAGCACAAACTCGTTAACACGTGTAACAGGTCAGGCTTGTGGAAAATGAAAATTGAGGCAATATTTATTTTTATTGCTGCTGAAACAACATTTAAAAATATGGTTAGTATGTCTATAAATAAAATTGACAGCAAAGATATTCTATCCTCACTTCTTAAAGATACAAATGGTCTATCCAACTTTTCAAAGATTGGAAGTAAAACTAATAATTTTGTTAAGAAAGAAGTTTGCTTAAATGTTCTTGAAGATGACTTGAATTTGTATGTAAAAGCAAGGATATTTTCCTATGTCAAGGATAATCTACAGGCAAAAAATTAAATTAAATCAAAGACCAACATTACAAAATTAAATTAAAGACCAACAATATCTTAATTTCACATTTGACAATTGAAAACAATTATCTGATATTATCTCAATTTTTAAAACAACTATTTTCATAGCTACAGATGGCTAAAAAACATTTTTGTGGTATCAGAAAATATATTACTAGTTTTTTATTAAATTGTTTTCTTTTCATTAGAAAATATTTTCTACAATCTAATTTATCAAATAAGGGTTTTGCTTTGCAATAACTGGGAGTTAAAATCAAAAGGTATTACTAAATAAAATTTACAAACACATTATTTTGTGGGGATTGGAAACTTTACATTAGTTTTTAGATAACATTTAGGGACAGCATTTTAGGGTTTTCCATACTCCAAGTTTTTTCAGAAGTTTTCCTATTTATTCTGAGTTTATTGAGTCTGTTAATTAAATTTTTTTATTTAATAAAATTAAGTTATAAAATTTGTCTGTTTATTATATTTTACTTGTTATCAACAAGGAAATGATATCTTAAAAAAAATGTTTAGGGTAAACCAATCTTAAAAATAATATAATATAAGTGCACTAATAATAATAAAAATTCCTACGTTTATTAAGTTCTCCTCCCCAGTTAAAAATTAATAAACAAGAGCATTTATTTGGCACCTAAAATAATTTTTGATCAGTATATATTTTTGAGAGTATATGAGATTAGCAACTATCAGGGAGGGAGAGTATATGAAATAAGCAACTATCAGGGAGGGAGAGTATATGAAATAAGAAACTATCAGGGAGGGAGAGTATATGAAATATGTAACTATCAGGGAGGGAGAATATATGAAATAAGCAACTATCAGGGAAAGGTAAGGTTTAAAATTTTTGATCATGATGTTTTTAAGTAAGAATATTTTTCAAAAATCTTATGTTTTGCTTGCTTTTTTTTTTAATTTATTTTGCATATTTAAAATGCTAAATCGTTATGAATTAAAATATTGAAAAAATTAGAAAGTAAAAAATTTTGCATGAGTATTTAACTTTTGTGCAAGAAACTAATGTCACATGTAAGCATTCAAATCTTTTTCATCATTTTTTGAGCCCCTTTTCCCCTTGTAATCAAGTTTAATCATTCAGTAGACTCGCCGCTCTAACTTTTATCAACTAACAATTATCAATTTTAACTCCAATCCGGTAATTTATTTTTATTTTTTTGTTATTTTTTTTTATTTGTTATTCACTACAGACGAGGAGGCTACTTTATAACCCTCTCTCAACTCTATAATTCCAAAACACAAACCTTGACGAATAAGGCCGCTGCGCAGAGAAACAAGTTGTTTATATAAACATGTTTATATAAAGTTAAAATTTATATAAACATTTGTTTATGCTTATGCCAAATAAGGATGCTTTGCAAAAAATTGCAATGATTGGAGCCTTAGAACAAATAAGACTTAAGATTTTTGCCCCCTACCCCAATCATTTAAGCAACAAGTTGGTAAGATATTTTTTGTACTATTCTCAACTAGATTTATATTTATCGATAAACTTTAATTTTCATAGTAAAATATATTAGCGTTCAAAAATTAAGACAAAGTTTTAACCTTTCTCTATTTAAGGGGGTTACAAATTTTATATATTTTACAAAATTGTATAATGCATATCAAACATAAAAATGTCAGGTTATATAAAAATGTTAACTAACACCATAGTGTTCTCTGTTATCTAAAATGTCTTAAAATTGTCACAAAGCATCAACCTTTTTTAATGTGTCAAGGCTAAAAGCATAACCTTTTAAGTGTTTCAAGGCTAAAAGGATAAAATCCTAGATGCTTTGTGACAGAATTTTTTAGTGTATTTTTATTATTTTTATTATTTATTTTTTACTCATTATTGTAATTATTTTATTTAGGTAGATGGGAATTTGTTGTAAATGGTAGAAAACGGTCTTACAATTTGGTATGCCCAAGTCATGAACAGGCTGTACACTGGCAAGTTGCAATTCAGGAGGTAAAAAGTTATTTAAATTAAGTATGTATTTATAAAAACATGTTTAAATATTTATAAATACTCTATAATAAAAACAATTTATAATAGGTTATTGAAAATAAACCACCTGTTGAAACGCCTTTTCAGAAGCTTATGAATGAAATTATGAACTCAAAAAGTGAATCATTAATTAATAGAATTTATCGTGTTAACCCATTACTTACATTCACTAAGCAGCCATTAAAGATGCCACTACTGCCATTGCCATATGGTCATTCACTTGCTTTAAGTAAGAATTGTTTACAAATTTTTTATAAAAAGTTTTGTTTTAAAGTTTTAATTGAAATACCTTATAATAATATTATATAATAAATATGTTTTTTAAAAGAAAATTTTGTTGGCACTATTATAAACATTGCTGGCTTTTTTATATTTAATAGTTTGTTAATTTAAGAAATGATTACAATTTCAATGAAAATAGATAACAATTGATTGATAATAGTTAAATTTTTTTTCTTCTTTAAATCATAGGTTGCAATATATGTTTAGTAAAAAAATATGTTTTGCTTATTTTTTGATTCTGTCTGTTTAGGGTTTAGGGCTTTATTGTGGTATTGTTTGGTATCAAATAAAGTGTCCCAAAATAATATACATTGAGTCTTAAAATAATTTAGATTAATTTAAAAAATTTCCTTTGTTATTGCACAATAAAATACTGTTGACTTAATTTCAAATTTAAAATTTTAGTTAAAAAAAAAAATCTTTTTAAAAAAGTTTGAATTTATAAATAATTTTTAAAGTAGAATTTATTAAAAATTATAAATAATTTTTAAAGTAGAAAGTTATTAATTTTTTTTTTTTTTTTTTTGTTGAGTTCTTTAAAAAATTTTGAGAACTTTGGAAATTTTAAAACATATAGATTGTAATTAGTCCAAGTAAATTAACAAACAAACGCTTTTACTAAACCCTTTTTTATTTCTATGTATTTAATGTATGTAAATGTTTATGACCTGCCTTATGTTAGCAATTACATAAATATAAACAGTCATCTTTACCAAAAAAAAATTAGAACACAAATATTTTTGGTAAACATTTTTCTTTGTTAAGCCGAGTGTTGGGATGTGAATTCTATCATTGCATCATGTTTAAATGTTCTCTCTCTCTCTGTTGATGGTTCTAATGTTGCTCTCTGCTGATGGATCTAGTATTTTAGATCTTCTTAATGCCTGTCAATTGTTTCTGCTTTTGATTATTGTCTCTTAGTTGATTCTGTTTTTTGTTATTTCAAAATAATCCAGTATATTAGAAATAATTTGCAAACATGTAAAACATTAGCATCTTCCACACTTTATATGAAATCCACATTAGAGTAATGAAATACTAATAATTATTTCCAAAAAAATTTTTTTTTAGCAATTTTAAGCTCTTTAATTTAATACTTGTTTTAAATACTTTATATCACATACACTCACATCTAAGATAGCATTGTTCGCTAATGGTACTACCATTTTTTCTTGTCATGATAAGAAGCCAACACTCTCTGATTGCTTGGTGGGAGCATTTGAGCTTGAAAAGGATCTCACTTCTGCTACAGCATGGAGTTCACAGCAGTTGGTGAACTTTAATTCAGATAAAACTCAATTTTTTTCAATCGTTATAACAATAATTTATATCTTCCTATATTTACTAATGGTAATTACTCAATGAGTCATCTACCCTTCCTCTAAGATTAACTTTTACTTTCGATCTTTCTTGGAAACCATATATCAAATCCATTGCAAAATTAGCATCTGCTAAGGTTGCATCTCTTTATCGAGCTCAAGATTTTCCTACTCCGGATTCTATTCTCTATCTTTATAAATCTCAAATCCGGCCTTGTATGAAATATTGTTGCCATACCTGGGGCAGATCTTCTAATGATGCCCTTTTTCTTTTAGACAAGGGGCAAAAACGCATTGTAAACATAGTTGGACCTGCTCTTGCAGCCAACCTCCAAACATTATCACCATTATTGTCTTAATGTTCCTTCTCTTTTTCTTTTCTACAAATACTATTATGGGCACTGCTCTAAAGAGCTAGCGTCTCTTGTGCCATCTATTAAAATTCATGCTCGCGTTACTCGTCATTCAATTAAGTCTTATCCTTTTTCTGTTACTGTTCCTTAGTGTTCCAAAAACTCTTATTTGTCTAGTTTTTTTCCTCAAACATTAGTTCTTTGGAATTGGCTTCCTTCATCTTGCTTTCCTGATTCATATAATTTGCAATCTTTTAAGTTGTCTTTCAATCATTTTCTTGCTCTACAATCTTCATCTTTCCTCTTCCAGTAACTTCCAACACTACTAGTGGTTGCTTGCAGCCTTGTTGGAAACAAAGATGTTTAAAATAAAAAAAACTTTAAAACAAATTTTAAGTTAATGAGCTAAGTGCTAAAAGTACTTAAGTCACAAAATAAATATTTTAAGAAAATATCATTTGATCAAAGATATAATGCTTCAAAATAAGGATTTAAAATGGCTAATCAAAATAGATTTTCTCAAAACATTAATTTTGTGGCTTAATTACTTTTATCACTAAGCCCATTAATTTAAAACTTGTTTTAAAGTATTTAAAACAAGTTTTTAATTTTTCTTTTTTTAATTATTTTGTTTTGTGTGTGTGTTTTTTTTTTTTTGTTTTTTTTGATGGTAATATTTTGATTAATGATTGAGAATGCTTAATAGTTAAAAGACTAAATTAATTATTTATAAATTATAAATTAAGGTTGAACAAATCATTTAAAAGAATGCTTTGATTGGTAAAATGTTGTGAGAATAAATGTTTACATATAAGTTTAATGGCTTTTTGAATTTATTTTTTAGAAGCTCAAAATAAAGGATATGGAACTTTCTATGAAGAAGCACTTAAAATATTTAAATGTTTACAAGAGTTAGAAAATGTTGCTGACCCAATTGCTGTTACACAAGTATGGCTAATTTTTATCAAATAATTGATTTACAAGATATAATAAGAGTGAGTCGTTTAGGTTATTGATAGGTTATTACCTTAGAGTGAAGCGCTTAGGTTATTGATATCAGTGTGGCTAATTTTCATCACAGATTTCAAGATAGGATTAGCACTTTAGAGCACACTTTAGTCTTGTACTTTAGTTTTACAAATCTATATTTAATGTTTGAGATAAAAATGCTAAATGTTAGCTTCTAGTTTTATATATTGTACAAAATTACATAATATAATTTGGAAGTTTGGATTTACTCCTGGGTAATATTTTCTTTCATTCATACATATTAATTGGTATTGTTTCAGAAATTTCCTTTAAATTAATTTTTCCATTTAATGAATTTTAATTTTATAAAAATAAAACAGTTTGAATGACAAAGTTTGATTTTTTTTTTTTGAATAGTAGTTTGATTTATGTACTTGATATATAGTATATGAAAACTTTCTGAAATAAGATTAATCTATTAATTTTGACTAGCTGTCATAACCCGTAAAACATGGGTTGGTATATCTATTCCACACCAACCTTTTCTATACTTGTTCCTTACTTTATTTTTTAATAAGTGGTAAAAAAATATTTTTTAATAAGCGGTAAAAAAAATAACTATATAAAAGTTATACTTATTGTATACTTTGAAAGCTATGAAAAAAAACATGAGATGATTTAAATATGTGAATTAACTGACTTACTATGACTCTGTACAATACTGGACTTGGTAAGTCTATTCCACACTGACCATTTTAATAATTTCACTTTATTTAAATAATTTTTAAAAAAGAGCAAAATATAAAAATCTTTGTTTTGAGTTTTAAAAAAAAAAGAGGGAGGGCTTTTGCCCTAACTTTAAGCCCACATCTTATGTGCCTTATGAGATGTGGGCCCTCTCTTTCCTCTGCAATATGCTGAAAAAGCATTATAAGATATACCCTCTTTTAATGAGGGGAAATATTTTCCTTTATTCTGGGCCCATGTGTACACCCTTGTTCTGGGCATATGTGCACACCCTACGCTTTATAAGAATAAGCTGAAAATAAATAAAGTAACTATTGAAATAGCTGAATGGTTTTTTAGTTTCATACTTAATTATAAAACCTACAAATTATTTATTTAGAAGTTGCAAATAAGGGTGGTGCAGCAGCTATTGTTGCTAGTATTACTACAACTTTATTGGCTATAACAATTATCAAAAAATACAGGTTATCCAATTAAGTATTAAATACAATTTATAGCAATCAAACCATTAGTAAAATATCTCATAAAATAGTATAACAAAATCATAATAAGATAATTAGAAACTAAAATTTACAATATGACATATGCATTGGCATAAAATTAAAATAACAATTAAAATATTGTTATTAAATTATATTTTGTTGAAAAAAATTTGTTGAATTAAAAACTAAAAAAAAAAAAAAATTTTAATTATATAAGTAATTATTAAAGACTTAAAAATTTAACTTGATAAAATCATACCTGAGTATTGCCACCAGAATATAACACTATACTTAATAGTTAGATTCATATAAAACACGATTGAATATCCAACATAAAATTATTTAAAACCAATAGAAATAAAAAAACAACGAATGAAAAAAAAAAATAAGCGCAAACCGCTTTTTTTTTTTTTTTAAACATCTTCGCTTCCAACAAGGCTGCAAGCAACCACTAATTAGTGTTGGAAGTTACTGGAAGAGAAAAGATGAAGTTTGTAGAGCAAACTGGACGTGTAAGAGTTTTGGAGCGCTTGGGAATAGTAACAGAAAAAGGATAAGACCTTATTGAATGACGAGTAACACGAGCTTGAGACACTAGCTCTTTAGAGCAGTGCCCATTATATTATTTATAAAAAAGAGAAAGAGAAGCAACATTACGAGATTGTGACAGAGGTTGAAGGTTGGCTGCAAGAGCATGTCCAACTATGTTTACAATGCGTAATTTTGCACCTTGTCTAAAAGAGAAAGAGGATCATTAGAAGATCCATTAGAAGATATGGCAACAGTATTCCATACAAGGTCGGATTTGAGATAGAGAATAGAATCCAGAGTAAGAAAGTGTCGAGCTCGATAAAGAGAAGCAACTTTAGCAGATGCTAATTTTGCAACGGATTTGATATAAGATTTCCAAAAAAGATCAGAAGTAAGAGTTAATCCTAGAAGATGAAGGGTAGGAGACTCATCGAGTACATTACCGTTTATAAATATAGGAAGGTCTAAATTATTGCGATAACGATTGGCCGAATAAAATTGAGTTTTATCTGAATTAAAGTTCACCAGCCACTGTGAGCCCCAAGCTGTAGCAGAAGTGAGATCCTTTTCAAGCTCAGATACCCCTTCCAAGCAATCAGAGAGTGTAGGCTTCTTATCATGACAAGAGTAAATGGTAGTGTCGTCAGCGAATAATGCCACCTTAGATGTGAGAATATCTGGAAGATCGTTAATGTAAATTAAAAAGAGTATAGGGCCAAGGATTGAACCTTGAGGAACCCCTGAAGTTACAGGATGTGAAGAAGAGTGTTGTCCATCAAGGACAACTTTTACACTACGATTGGAAAGGAAGGATTTAATAATCTTAAAGATGTTTCCAGATACACCGTAAGAAGAAAGCTTATGGAGAAGATCAGCATGCCAAACTTTATCAAACGCTTTAGAAATTTTTTTTATTTTTTGTTTTTTTTATTTCAATTCACCTCCTCAAGGCCGAGAAGGCCACTACAGACGAGGAGGCTACTTATTTGTGGCTATAACCCTCTCTCAACTCTATAACTCCGAAACACAAACCTTGACGAACAAGGCCGCTGCGCGGAGAAATGAGTTGAGTGCGGTACTACTAGGGACGTGGTGAGGATCGAACTCGGAACCACTCGTTTATGAAGCGAGCGCTCTACCACTACACCACTACCGCATAAATGTCAAGAGCGATGGCCTCAACCTCTCTATTTTTATCTAATGCGCAATAAAACCTATCAGTTATTACTGATAGCAAATCAGCCGTAGAACGAGAAGAACGAAATCCATGTTGATGATCAGAAAGTAGGTTTTGAGATTCGAGATGAGAGATTAAGTGTTTGTTAATTAAAGATTCAAAAATCTTGCTTATGATAGGAAGAAGACTAATGGGACGGTAGTTAGAAGAATCAGATCGCTCTCCAGAATTTTTAAAAATAAGGATAACAGAAGCTGCTTTCCAGCAGGCTGGAAAACAAGACTCTGATAAGCACTTGTTAAATAGTTTTGAAAGGATAGACGACAGCTCCGGAGAACACTTCTGCAAGACTATAACAGGTATGTTGTCTGGGCCACAAGCTGTAGAAGAGTCTAAGCAGGAAATCACTTAAGATACAGAAGCTGGAGTGATACGGATGTCGAGCAATGTATCAACCTGTTTGACAACTATATCAAGTAGAACGCAACTAGTGGAATCAAGAGATGATATTGATGAAAAGTTCTTGGCAAACAATTAAGCTTTGTCTTTAGGTGAGGTGACAAAGTCTGAACCATACAAAAAAGGTGGAATTACAGACTTGCCCTTATTATTGATACTATCAAAGATTCTCCAGAAGTCACAAGAGCCTAATTTTTGAGATGAAATACAAGATTTCATGATCTGAGAATAGCGGGCTTTGGCGTTAGACAAAACCCGCTATTCTCAGATCATGAAATCTCGTATTTCTAGCAGTAATAAACAGACGTCTGTTTATTACTGCTAGGTTCCTAGCAGTAATAAACAGATGTCTGTTTTCTGGAGAATTGTATTGCTGATAGATATGGAAGTAATGGTTTCTATTGGCAATTGCAGCAGCTCAATGTGAGGAAAACCATGGAGAAGAGTGAGGCTTGACCTGGAATCGTCGATAGGGAATAAAGGACTCCATGCCAGCCTGAATCCATGAAGTTATGTAAGAAGCGCATTTGTCAACAGGAAGACGAAAGATTTCTACCCAGGAACGATCATGAAGAAAATCACGGAAAGAGTCCCAGTCAGCTTTAAGGTAGTTGTAAGATGTACGATGATAGGGGGATTTTGATGGTGAAGAAGAATGAGATAATAGTTTTAGAGAGGCCAAACCATGATCAGAAGCACCTAAGGGTGAGTGTGGAGAAACTGAGCACTGACTAGGATCAGAAACAAGACATAAGTCAAGTAGAGAAGGTAAATGATTTAGGTTGTCTGGAAAGCGAGTTGGAAAGTTGACTATTTGAGTTAGGGATTGAGAAAGGCAAAAGTTGTGGGCCTTAATGCCTGCAGAGTCACTGACACTAGAGCCAAGCCATTCAGTGTGATGAACATTGAAGTCACCAACAACAACAATATTGGCTGATGGATAAAGAATGAGGGCTTGGTCAATATAATCAGAAATAACATCAAGAAGAGTGCAGTCTTGGGGTGAGGGAGAGCGATATAGAACAAAGAGAAAGGTGATAGAGTGAAGTGGTGCTAAACGAAAGCACATAAAAGAGTAGTCTGTGGATTCAAACCTAGTTTCCCGACAAATGGGTGAATTCTTACTAATGTAAATACTTAAGCATGTGACTATTGAAGTCTTTACGAATTAAAGGTAGATAATCATCAACACTAAGATCACAAGATGAGTTAGCTGAACTCAAATTAGTCTCACAATGAGCAAGTAGATCTGGTGAACTTTGCAAGAGATAAGGCTCAACAGAAGAAAATTTACTTCGAAGACCACGAATATTGGTAAATGATAGGTTTAGCGAACTTGGTGATGACTGTGGTTTTTTGTGTTTTATAGCTTTTGTTACTTTATTCATTTTTAAATTTGTTAAAGAACTTGACTGGAAATATAAATAGTACTCAGTACACTGTTTTATAGCCCAAGCAATTGCCTCATTTCCACTAATAAACCCTAAGCCATAACAAAGGGCTCCAATGTGGCCTTGGCAATGCACTTCAAAAGAACAAACAGGGACACCATCCATGCGCAACATGGCACTGTTAGTACTCTGAAAAGAACTCACTGTTAGAACCATAAAACTGAGTTTTAGAGCTGTACCCTCATTTGGAGATAATAGAATGAGTTGCCTAGTCATAAAAACAGAGACACAAGCAAAACCCATGCATCGAGTCAAGAAGATCCAGCGTTCAACATCCTAAACTGGAAACAATGTATTAAAAATACATCTGCACCAGTCTAATAGATAAAGAAAGGGTGTGAGGCTGGTCAACAGATAGAATCTGTTTACCCCTTAAGTGTGCTTGGCCACACAGGCTTTATATTCATTGAATATTTTAAAATGGTTAGACAAACAAAAAATATAAAAAAAACAGAATCGACTGCGAGAGATCAAAATTTAGGATATGTTGTCACAATGCAAGTAAAACTGTAAAACTTGATATTACATAATAAAATATTTAAAGTTACAATATAAAAAGTTAATTATAAAACATTATAAAATATATATTTCATAATAAAAAATACATTTACATACACAAGCATTCAAAGATATTTACATAAACTTTCATTCACTTATTAAACAAAGTGTTGCGACTCTTAATCGCCATTACCTTTGTTGCAATGGCTGCCAAGAGCTCTGTGTCAAACAGGCTTGAAAGGGCACTACTAGTACTATTAAGTTCATTATTGTTATATAGATATATAATATATGCAGGAACAATAAATAATATGTTTTCATTTTCAAATATTTTTTTAGATCTTTTATTTTTATTTAGGGTATTCTCCAAACATGCCATGATCTTAACCAGCTGAGAGATGAGGTTTTTTATGCTTTCTAAGTTGTTTTTTTTATTATTTCTTTTTTCTTTACCAACTATTATATACATACATTCATACATACATTCATAGATACATACATACATGCATGCATGCATACATTCATACATACATACATACATACATACATACATACATACATACATACATACATACATACATACATACATACATACATACATACATACATACATACATAGTTCAAACTGCATATTAGCACTGTTTATAAGTCGATTATTTATTGGTTTCTTTATTCTTTGTACTTTTTTTTAAAAAATAATAAAGAAAACAATAAATATCAATTTATAGATAAAATTGATACATTTTGCGTTTTTTTGTTTTTCTCTCCAGTTAAGTTGTTTTTTTTAAAATCTCTTTTTCAATTGTTTCAGCTTTTTTAAGATTTTTTTTTCAGCTTAAGGAGCTTTTCAAGGTTTGCTTTCAGCTTTGAGTACCATCCACCTTCCTAAAAGTACCTAAGCTTTTAAACTATTTAACATTTTGCAATATTTTTTTTAATTTAGTGTCTCATTTCTTTTATAATTGACCCAGTACCCTCCCATCTCATATACCCTCCCATCTCATAGACCCCCTCTGAGCTTATGTACTTTATGGATGATCCCTTATTAAACAAACTGGTGGTTATGTAGATCCACATATCTTTTTTTATTTCCAATTTATTGTTTGTTTTTTTTTTATTGTTTTATTAAAGGTTTATTGTCAGCTAATTAAACAAACAAGTGGTTTAATAGATCCAGATAATATTTCTGCTTTGCGTCATATGCAGGTTAGATTTTATTTCAAGCTAAAAGTCAATACTTATTAGTGTACTATTTCATTACCTATTTTATCCAATGTTTTGTTCTTTAAGTCTTCTTGAAATTAAAAAATTAATTTAAAACAACAGCTCCATGTATTTGCTCTGTTAAATTTACAGGTACTTGTTTGTATGTCTTGTACATTCTTGCCATCAAGAAAAGTACTTCGATTTTTATTGGCACATTTGAAACGGTTATTTTATACATTTTTTATAACTTAATTTTAATTATGAAAGTTGATTTAACTGTTTAATTAATTTGTTTTGTATTAAACTTTTTTTTTTTTTTTAATTTATTTTTTTTAAACAATGTATAGAGTTCATGATGAGTTTACAAATTCAGAAATAGCAAAGTTTAGCGAGTTTGCTGCAGATGCATTAAAACGAACACGTGTTCGGGAATATCCTCCATCTCGAGGTGAAATTATTACACTTTTGGGTAGAAGAAAAATAAATGTATTAGTTCATTGCTATGGGGGAGGATTGTGTCAGATTTCTATAGACTCCTCAACAACAAGTGGAGAGGTTGTAAAGATTTTATGCAAAGGAATGGGCATTGTTCAAGACAATCTAGCATTTGCTTTGTTTGAAAAATGTGGCCCTCACAATGAAAGATCTATTGAAGACAGGGAAATAGTTGCTGACATAGTTTCAAAATTTGAAAAGTGAGTTTCACACTTTAATGTTCTCATTTATAGTACAGTTAAAACCATATTATGTTTAAAGTTGCAGTTAAAATCATGTTCTTACAAATCATGTTTTCTTTGTTTTTATTACTTAAAAATCATGTTTTCTTTGAAGAAGCATAACATGGTTTTATAATAGAAACAAATTTATTATTTTGATAAACATGAAATTATGTTATCATAGATTCAAAGCATTAGAAGTCAACAAGAACAGTCGCAATAAATGGATATTGTTTTTTAAAATATTTTGTTATTTGCATCCACAGCAAGTTTCAACCAGTTCAGTAGAGGGGCTGTTTCTTTATGAGCAGGTGATAATTTTGTTATTTTTGGTATTATTTTTCCTTTTTTCTTTTTTTTTTAAATTTGAGTTAGTTAAATAGTTAATTAAAAGAAATAGTAATTAATAGTAATAACAAATAATAATAAATAATCCAATTACGAGAAAAAGAGCTTAAAAATTGTTTATGTATTATGCTTATCTAACATGAGTTTATATGTTTTTAAAAGATGCGTAAGTAAGAATCTAATTAGGTACTTTTTATTAACTGATTCTCTCTTTGCTAACTTTATCCTATTGATATATTTTATTATTTCTTATTTTACATCTGCCTACTTAAGTTGACACAAAAATATTGGTCAATTGTTGGTCACATTTTCCTAGCCACCCTAACTGGTTTTGCTTCCTCAAGAGTTACTCTGCATATCAGAACTATTTTAATAATTTACTGACATCATAGGAAATCATCATATTGCTAAACATGCCACAAAACTTTCAGTATTTCTTAATAATTTTAAATAATTGAAAACTGCTATTAAAAATTATTTTGCCAATAATTAGTTCAGAATATATTATATCCAGATTACATTACCTTATATTATCAATAGTTCATGCAATAAATAAATTGATTGATACTGTTATCATTGATAATAGTATTTTATCAAGTGACCATTTAATAAGCTAGAAATAAATTTGCTTATAAATTTGTTTACTTTTTGTTTAAATCAAGTTTATAAAGAAATAGTTTTAAATTGTGTGTTTTACAACTGTAGACTTGTGAATACGTAATGCGTGGAAGATATTTGTTTCCGGAGCTTACATTATGCAAGCTGGCTGCTTTGCGTTTGCAATATTTAGAAGGAGATTGCATTGTTGGAACTTGGATGTATTTTTTTTTTTAACTTTAAATTTTACATCATCTTAAACTGTTTTTAACTACATAACAAATTTAATCTATTAAATTGTCTTTAGAGATAAAGAAATCAGTACAATATTTCCTGTTGGTAAAATACGATCAAAAGCAGCTCAAGAAAAAAAACCAACACCAAAAAAAGACTACGGAACCATTCGTGTATAATGATTTTTTTCAAATCTTTTTATCTATATCTTTATATATCAGGTAACCAATAAAGTTTGTGTGGTTTTGCAGGTCCATAAATAAATACACAAAAAAATGGTTTTAGTAAAGTTTATTCTGAAAAAAAGTCTCTTTCAGCTAGAATGACTTTCTCTCATCGTGAAACAAGCTTGTATATTCCATTTTTATAAAGGTTTTTAGTTTGGGAGCTAAAAAATTGATTTAACTCATTTTCGAGGTCTTCTCTATTTTGAAACAGTCGATCCCTCATATGATTATCCAGGGCCAAAAACAGGTGATAGTCGCTTGGGGCTTGGTCTGGTGAATAAGGAGGGTAAGGTAGATTCTCCCATTGTAAACATGCTAGAGTTTCCCGGATGATTTTTGCGGTGTGCGGTCTGGCGTTGTCCTGGTGGTATACATCACCTTTTCTGTTCGCCAAAGCTGCTTGTTTTTGGTGAAGAGCAACCGAAACTCTGTCCAATTGGGCTATGTATATCTCAGCACTAATGGTTTGTCCACTAGGTAGCAACTCATAGTGAACGATAGCTGCTGCAGTCCACCATACACACAGTAAAACCTTTTGTTGGTGAAAACCTGGTTTAGGAGTCATCGGTACTGGATCGCTACTGGCTAATTAATGATATGTTTGTTTTTTGTTGCAGTATATAATCCATTTTTCGTTGCACCTCAACATCTGGAACCACTTTTAACCCGTCAAAAGTGGTTCCAGATGTTTAAACTCATAAAGTAAACAGGCGTGAATTATTGCATTTGACACAGCCATACTCAACTTAAGAATTTTAAATTTATATTGCACTAATAAAACTTATGAAACACACTGATTGATTCTCTTTGAAACAAGTTTCAATTTATAAACAAAATTATCTCCCTACCACAACCATTATCTTATAATACTTTTGTTAGTAAATAGGAATTAGGAAAAACCGCATGAACTTTATTGGTTACCTATGCAGTATCAATGATAATAAATGTTGTTTATTTTAGTATTTCATTACCAAAATAAACATTTTATTCAAAAATATTTTCCTTATTTTTCTATTTCATATATATATTTTTTTAATTTATTATTTAACATAAAATAATGCAAGAATGTGTATTATTCTATTTATATCACCTAGCAGGTGATTTATTAATGAAATTTTTTTGATTTTACAGGGAACTATAAGCAAAGCTATTTCTTCATTTAAAGGTGCTTAACATAATATATTTTTGTATATTAAATAAATAAATTATTTTAATAAGAATACACTTACTATATTAAGAATGCTTTCTGATTATAGCTTTTATTATTGTTACTGTTTTTATTATTCTTATTATTATTCTTATTATTATTATTTAATTTTTAAATATAGTTATTTATGTTCAGGTGAGGAAGATATTGAAGAACGTTCAGAGCAACCTGTTTACGACGTTGAAGAAGAACTTTCTGCTATAAAAAGTAGCATTATGGCTAAATGGAAAGAGCTCAAGGTTAAATCTATTGAATTATTGTTAAAATTATAATTGATTTTAGACTAAATGTTGTAATTTTTTAAATCTAATAAATCTTTGTTTGTCCCTTCTCTTTCTTTTAAAATTTTTAATAAAACTTTCAACTTGTTTCATTTTTAGTTTACTTTTTTAACATTTACTTTTGTTTTTGTTTAGTACTCTCACTTGAAAATTTTTTTTTTTTCGGTAAATTGGAAGAAAATAAAATTAAAGAATTTATATTAGTGTTTTAATTTTAATTTAATTTTTTCATGATATCTATGGTAGGGTACTGATCCTGATGATGCCTTAGTGGAATACATGTCAATAGTAAAGAATTGGTATGGGTTTGGATCAACAATGTTTAATGTCAAGGTGATTTAAATTGTTGTTATGTTGTCACACATTTTAGTTTTGTTTTTGTTGTTGCTGTTGTTATTGTTGTTTTTGTTTGTTTTTATTTTTATTGTTGTTATTTTTGTAATTGCTGTTTTGAAAGGGATCCCTATGTGCTCCTAACATATGATCTCATATGAAAGAGCATTAAAAAAATATATAAGTTTTTTTTTCTTTTTCACTAAATTATAATAATAAATGCATGCTAACAAAAAGCAATTGCCGAAATCACTGAAAAACAACTCCATTTTGATTTTATTTTTTTACCATTGAAACTCAATTGTTAGTCGTTAAAAATCACGTTAGTATGTCACAACAACTTTAGAATATCTACTTCGATTTTTAAGTAAAAAAAAGTCGTTATAGTTTTTTTTTTTTTTTTTTTAACATCTTCACTTCCAACAAGGCTGCAAGCAACCACTATAAGAGTTGGATGTTACTGGAAGAGAAAAGACTAAATCTGTAGAGCAAGATAACAATTGACTGATAACTTAAAAGATTGCAAATTATATAAATCAGGGAAGCAAGATGAAGGAAGCGAATTCTAAAGAACTGATGTTCGAGGAAAAAAACTAGAAGAATAAGAGTTTTTGAAGCACTTAGGAACAGTCACAGAAAAAGGATGAGACTTAATTGAATGGCAAGTAACACGAGAATAAATTTTAGTAGATGGCACAAGGGACGCTAGCTCTTTAGAGCAGTGCCCATTATAGTATTTGTAGAAAAGAGAAAGAGAAGCAACATCACGACGATGTGACAAAGGTTGGAGATTGGCTGCCAGAGCAGGTCCAACTATGTTTACAATGCCTTTTTGCACCTTGTCTAAAAGAGAAAGAGCATCATTAGAAGATCCGCCCCAGATGTGGCAACAGTATTCCATACAGGGACGGATTTGAGATTTATAGAGATAGAGAATAGAATCTGGAGTAAGAAAGTGTCGAGCTCGATAAAGAAATGCAACCTTATCAGATGCTAATTTTGCAATGGATTTGATATACAGTTTAAAAGAAAGATCAGAAGTAAGAGTTAATCCTAGAAGATGAATGGTAGATGACTCATCTAGTACATTACCATTCATAAATATAGGAATATCTAAATTATTACGATAACGATTGGCCGAATAAAATTGAGTTTTATCTGAATTAAAGTTCACCAGCCACTGTGAGCCCCATGCTGTAGCAGAAGTGAGATTCTTTTCAAGCTCAGATACCCCCTCCAGGCAATCAGAGAGTGTAGGCTTCTTATCATGACAAGAGTAAATGGTAGTGTCGTCAGCGAATAATGCCACCTTAGATGTGAGAATATCTGGAAGATCGTTAATGTAAATTAAAAAGAGTATAGGGCCAAGGATTGAACCTTGAGGAATCCCTGAAGTCACAGGATGTGAAGAAGAGTGTTGTCCATCGAGGACAACTTTTATATTACGATTGGAAAGAAAGGACTCAATAATCTTAAAGACATTACCAGCTACACCATAAGAAGAAAACTTATGGAGAAGACCAGCATGCCAAACCTTATCAAAAGCTTTAGAAATGTCAAGTGCAATAGCCTTAACCTCTCCACCTCTATCTAATGCAGGGTAAAACCTATCGGTTATTACTGTTAGCAAATCAGCTGTAGAACGAGAAGATTGAAATCCATATTGATGATCAGAAAGTAAGTTATTTGATTCAAGATGAGAGATTAAGTGTTTGTTGATTAAAGATTCAAAAACCTTGCTTATGACAGGAAGAAGACTAATGGGACGGTAGTTAGATGAATCAGATCGCTCTCCAGAATTTTTGAAAATAGGGATAACAGATGCTGCTTTCCAGCATGATGGAAAACAAGACTCTGATAAGCACTTGTTAAATAGTTTGGAAGTATGGATGAAAGCTCCGGAGAACACTTCTGCAAGATTACAACAGGAATGTTGTCAGGACCACAAGCTGTCTAAGACAAGAGTCTAAGCAGGAAATTACTTTTGATACAGAAGCTGAAGTGATGCAAATGTCAACCAAGGGATCAACCTGTTTGACAGCTATGTCAGGTAGAACGCAACTAGTGGAATCAAGAGATGATATTGATGAAAAGTTCTTAGCAAACAATTCGCTTTGTCTTTAGGTGAGGTGAAAAAGTCTGAACCATACAAGAGAGAAGGAATAACAGGTTTGCCCTTATTATTGATACTGTTAAACATTCTCCAGAAGTCTCGAGAGCCTAATTTTTGTGATAAGATACAAGATTTTATGATCTGAGAATAGCGAGCTTTGGCGTCAGACAAAATCTTTTTACAATGGTTTCTGGCGATAGTGAACAGATGTCTGTTTTCTGGAGAATTGTTTTGCTGATAGATATGAAAGTAACGGTTTCGATTAGAAATTGCTGCAGCGCAATGTGAGGAAAACCAAGGAGAAGACTGAGGCTTAACTTGGAATCGTCGAGAGGGAATAAAAGATTCTATGCCAGCCTGAATCCACGAAGTTATGTAAGAAGCACATTTGTCAGCAGGAAGACGAAAGATTTCTACCCAAGGGCCATCACGAAGAAAATCACGGAAAGAGTCCCAGTCAGCTTTAAGGTAGTTGTATGTGGTACGATGATAGGGGGATTCTGATGAAGTAGAAGAATTTGATAATAGTTTTAGAGAGATCAAACCGTGATCAGAAGCACCTAAGGGTGAATGTGGAGAAATTAAACTGACTAGGATCCAAAACAAGACATAAGTCGAGTAGAGAAGGTAAATGATTAGGGTTGTCTGGAAAACGAGTTGGAAAGTTGACTATTTGAGTTAGAGATTGAGAAAGGCAAAAGTTGAGGGCCTTAACGCCAGCAGAGTCACTGACACTAAAGCCAAGCCAATCAGTGTGATGGGCATTAAAGTCACCAACAACAACAATATTGGCCGATGGATAAAGAGAGAGAGGGCTTGGTCAATTTGATCAGAAATAACATCGAGAATAGTGCAATCTTGGGATGAAGGAGAGCGATATAGAACAAAGAGAAAAGCGATAGAGTGAAGTGGGGCTAAACGAAAGCACATAAAAGAATAGTCTGTAGATTCAAACCTAGTTTCACGACAAATGGGTGAGTTCTTACGAATGTAGATGCCCAGGCCAAGCATGTGATTATTGGAGTTTTTACGAATTAAAGGAAGATAACCATCAACACTAAGATCACAAGATGGGACAGCCGAACTCAAATTAGTCTCACAAAGAGCAAATAGGTCTGGTGAACTTTGCAAGAGATAAGATTCAACAGAAGAAAAGTTACTTCGAAGACCACGAATATTAGTAAATGATAGGTTTAGAGAACTTGGTGATGACGATGGTTTTTTGTGTTTTTTAGTTTTAGGTACTTTAGTCATTTTAAATTTATAAAGAACTTGACTCAAGTATAGATAGTACTCAGTACACTATTTAACAACTAAGCAATAGCCTCATTACTATTAATAAACCCTAAGCCGTAACAAAGGGCTCCAAATGTGGCCTCTACAATGCACACCAAAAGTACGAACAGGGACACCATCCATGCGCAACATGGCACTGTTAGTACTCTGATATTTTTCGGCTGTTGATGGAATCAGCCTCTCTGAGAGCTACCACAGAGTTCGGGAAACCTGACTACCAGCCGGCCTCAGAACCATAAAATTGAGTTTTAGAGCTGTACCCTCATTAGGAGATAATAGAATGAGTTGCCCAGTCATAAAAATAGAGACACAAGCAATACCCACGCATTGAGTCAAGAAGATCCAGCGTTCAACATCCTAAACTGGAAGCAATGTATTAAAAATACATCTGCGCCAGCCTAATAGATGAAGAAGGGGTGCGAGACTGGTCAACAGATAAAATCTGTTTACCCCTTAAATCTTTGCCTAGGAGGCCTTCTACAAGACAGTAGCCGGATGCATTTAACATCTGCCCAAGATGAGTATTTTTATTGAGACACCATCTCTAGCCTTTACTCAACCAAGAGCCCCAAGGCAGGGGGTGTTTTAATTCGGAGTTAACTTCTCCTAGCCTTTGCCTAAAAAAGCGTATCCTACAAGGCAGCAGGACATGAAGCAGGTTGTACTGGGTTACATGTTACCAGTAGCAGGAAAACCTGACCTGACACTAGTTAAGTTTTAATCAAGTTTTTTTAATTAGTTTTGCAAAAATAGTATAATAGAATTCAGTTGAAAGGCGTTGTTAAAAAAAATTTATTAAGTACTAGTTTTAAATAGTTCACAGCTTATAAAAAAGCCTTACAGCGCTCGTATTAAGCGTATTGCGATCGCGATTGCTTTTCACACTTTCGGGATTAGTTTTTTCTTTAAAAAAATCTTTTTGCGATTTGTTTTTTTTTTGGTTGTTTAATTTCTTTTTTTCTAGCTTAGCATTTTTTTAGCAATTCTTAAAAGTAATGTTTTTATCATAAAGAACGTCACACAAAATTTATTATTCTGAATAGATAGATGAATAGATGATTCGCTCTTTCGCGCGGAGATTTTCTTTCAACTTAAAACATTATTGAATTTAAATTACTTTAAATCTCTGTGTGGAAAATTTTTAAAAGGTCGTTAAAGCGAAAAGTTGAAAAGGGAAAAGATGTTAAATCAAATTTTTTCTTCATTCTAACAAAACAACCTGGTTTTTATCTTTGTCTTTCAAAACTTCATGTTTAAAATATAGCTTAAAAACGTTAGAGCAAAAAAACTACTGACTTTTATTTGCATTTTTATACTGTTTGAAAAAAAAAAACTAATAAAAAAAAATTAATTTTTATTATTATTAATTCTAATAATTATTAATTAATATATTATTAGTTAATTCTTTTTTATTATTATTTTTTTTTCAAACAGTATAAAAATGCTAATAAAAACCATCAATTTTTTTACTTTAACGTTTTTAAGTCTTATTTTAAACATGAAGTATAATGCGATTTATTAAACCAAATTTTTTTGTTTCACTTTTTATTGGAAAACAATTGAAATAGAAAAATTAAATAAAAGCATCAAC